TGTCAACGTTGCCCGGGTTGCGCCCGATTGTGATGTTTGGACTTGATTGGACTTTTTACCATGTGGGCAAATTCACTCTTTGCAATGCTGAGCTTTTCAGGGGCAGTCTTCGTGGTCGACATAATACAGGAGGTCCTGGAGTCGTGTGTATGTGATGTACTGTCTGGTGTTCACTTCTCGAGGCAATCCTGGAGGACGAGTAATTTCAGAGAATTCTGTAATTTTAGAATTATTTAGGGAATTTTAGAGAGGGGAGATGTAGTGACTACAGATTTTACGCTACTTTGAGTCATAACGGAAAGTTGTCCTCCTGTAAAAAAGTCCAGCAGCATTGTAAAGTCGTAACAAATGACAGTCAGGAAGCAAATGGTAGGTAGTAAACTGAGGAAGTCCGAGCCAATGATTGGAACACTAACATCAGCAACTGTGAACTGCCATGCAAAACTACGGCGAAGGCCTAGGTCCAATGTCATAGAACAGGTTCATTAAGTCTTGATAGTACTACCTTTGGCGGCACTTAGTTCAAAGTCTGTAGATGTGCGACGGTCTCGTAGAAGACGCTTGAGTGCCAGAGATTGTGAGGCTGTTGCCTATTAAGAAATTTAATGGTGTAATTACAAAATGGTTAAAAAGTAAGGCTTTCTACACTGTAGATGAATTTTTAGACGCTAAGACTGATTGTATTATAGACTGACTGTGATGTATTTTTGCACTGACAATGCCTATTGTAACGTCATGTTATTTAATGGCAAATAAATATTCTTGATTCTTTGGATAACATGATACATCAGAGCCGGTGTCGATCAAAAACCAGAGTTTCGACTTTTGATTCAAGACCAAACTTCTGTGGCTGGGTGCTTGACAGTCAGCCGCTGCTGTTTCTGGCCGTCCTTTGAGTTTCCCACGTAAGGTCAAGGACATTTACATTTTGACGCGTGCTCACCAAATTTGGCATGATACCAGCAGATATGGCTTGTAGATTTGTGCTGATCTTGATTTGCGTTTTTTTATGTTTTCTTATCATGATTGGTCAAACGATTGTGCCAGAGGGATACTTGAAGTGTGTCAATCCTCTGCACCAGTCTTGCAATAGCAGCAGTGAGGTCGTCATTAGACTGTGTGTGTTCACTAGTTGCCGTAGCATTTACTGATACTTGTGGTGTACTTATAGAAACTTCTATGACTTTATCCGCTATATCTCCAAGTTATCAAGTGGAAGTTCATTTTGAGCTGTGATAATCTCTTGAATGTTAATAGGGAGACGATGTAGCCTAGTCAGAGTGCTCGAAGGATGTTGTCCTGTAGTTGGGTTGGACCGATCAGAGTACGTAGGTGGCGTAAGCTTGCAATATCTCCGATGTCTTCGTCGCTGGTCAACTTGCGAATGCATTGTTTTTCAATAGTAGACAGCCTTTCAATTAGCTTCGAACGAAGTTCCGTGTAACGATTCGTTGCAGGCGGATTTGTGATGATGTCCTCTACTTCCAGTGCTTAAGGAGTTTCAAGCTAACAAACGACGTAGTGGAACCGAGTGTCATCACCTGTGATCCCTAGAAAGTTAGAAAGTTCATTTTGTTGTTGTTGTAGATTCGCCAATTGAGCTTTGATTTCTTCTTGCGACATTGGTAATTATCGAGAAAGGAATATTGTTCTTGTCGTTGTCGTTGTTCAGTAACATTTTAACAATCCAGCAACAGCTGTTACATAATAAATATTGAAAAAAAGTAAAGATCAAAGGCATTAAGGCTGTGGCTAAGTTGACACCTCAAATTAGTCATTAGACCTAATAAATTCAGTATATTACTAGAGGTAGGTATTAAAATAAGAATTGATATTGACTGTTTGCTATTTATTATTAATATAATGTATTCCACTGACAGTATTTGACTTGACCGTGTTTTGGATTTGTTTATGACTTTTCTATCGTCAAGAAAAATACCTCCACCGCAGCAGACCGGCAGACTAGGCAAATTTCCATTTACCTGGCTGGAATTCCACTAAATTATTCCCTAACAATTGTTAGATTTATCTCCTATTTAAATATCATTAATTTTAGCGAGTACTTAGGTTTGCTGCCACAGGGAAGATAATGTCTGTGTGTTATTGAAGCTTAGTATGATGTTTAAACAAATTTGCCAAATTTTATTAAATTATGTCCATAGACTAGTTCTGCAACAGAACTAGTCTGCAGAACTAGTCTGCAGACTAATCTGACTGCAACAGTTCAGATTATCCTATCCTATCCTACTAACAGGTCCGTCACATGGGTGGGGCGACCAGGGCGATAGCCCCCAGCGCCGCGGACAGGGGGGTGCCACGGCAAAAGTAATTCAAAAAAATTGAAAAAATAAGGTTAGATGTACAAAAACGTTTTGGAAAGTTATGTATAACTGAATTTTGTATTCATTGAACAATAATACATATTATTTGACACCAATCCCTTATATTTTCAACGTTTTCCCAAATTAAATATTTTATGAAAATGGAGTTGTTTGCTCGATTTGCTAGTCCCTACTACTTTTAGTTAAGTTTCAATAATAGCCTAATATTGAACCCCACTGTGGAGTTGAAGACCCTGCCCCAACTTAATTATTTTAATATAGGCTAAATCAATATTGCAATGTGCAATTTCACCCAACCGGCTGACCTTGGGACTCTGACGATGACTCATGATAGAGACAATGACTTCAAATATGCACGTGTTGACGTGTCGCGACTCCTATAGCAGTCTCAGCTGAACTGTCAGCTTATTTTGATGAGTGATTACGAGTTATTTACGTGAATATTGTATCAGTGTACATTCAATTTGCACTGTATTAATTAATAACATACAGTACTTTTTATAGGTTTTAATACTTTCTTACATTATTGTATGGATTTGATTATCATAAATTAAAAATTATTTTCATCAAAGATTTAAGTAATTTAATCCCTGATGCCTGACTCTAGTATTTTTGTAAGGTAATTATATCCTTTAGGTGTCTGTTGTTGGGAATTAAATCGCAGATAGCGATGCCTTGCAACTTTGTATGTATTTGGGGGGGCGCCTGACAACATCCCACCCCGAGCGCCATTAAATCACTTGATGGCCCTGCCTACTAATATTATAAGTGAGAAAGATGTATGGATGGATGGATGGGTGTTTGTGACAAATAATCACAAAAAATACTAAACCGACAGGGTTGAAATTTGGTATGATGATAGCTCACATTCCCGATATAGACATACGTGTATTCTTATTTTAAAAATGCTTTCAGGCTCCGCCCCAGTGGCTCTGAAGTTTCCCATTTTAACCTTATGAGTATTCATATTTTATAGGAATTAAATAATTTTGTCAGCTATTTCAACTGCACAAGTTGGTACTATGATATGAAATAGCATTACAAAGTTATAAGGTTTACCACTATGGGTACAGCAATATTATTATTTTTTTGCAATATGACAACAGCTAATTTGAACCAATTAGTAACAAAAAGCTGTTGTACCATTCGGGAGATAATAAAAAAAGTTGTCTATCTATAAAATATAAAATAATCCTCATGTTATTCTTGTGGAAAATAAATAAACTGTTGTAGTTCATGTTTGTTAATGGATTTATTCTAATCAAATTTGACAATTTTATTTATTTCATACTAAACTAACATCATTTCAATAACCCCTGACTAGGCCCTACCTTCCCTTTAGCAGCTAACCTAAAGTACTCGTTAAACCAAGGTTTTTTTTTCATTTTTGTTGTTCTGCATTGGTGTAGACAATAAAAAAGGTTATTACCTGTGTCCATACCGGTCGATCCTATAGTATCCTTCACAGTAGATGAATTTAGGTGAATTTTATATCGCTATCATCAGTCCTAATATAAGTTCTTGATCTTCCCCATTACGGGTGCGCCTCAAAGTTTGGAGACACATACGTACGTTACACATAAAACCATTAACGTTGACGATCAAAAACGGATAACTGCGCGGTAGGCCGGCGGTCACGGGTATTTAAAACCTTTTTTTCAACGTTATTTAGATAGGGAATAAGTTTGACATTTTAAATGAGATATTTCAGTGAAATTCCAGTTAGGTTTAAATGGAAATTTGCTTAGTCTGCAAGTTTGCTGCGGCGTCGGTATTGTAGGTACAATTAAGTTTTAGACATTGGGGACCGTAAGACACTGCGAAATAGGCCTACCCGTACTATATCAATAATGCTTCCATATTTGAAATAGTACATTGTAGCGTCTTACCTAGTGTTTTAATTTTATGAAAACAGTCTGGAGGTAACATAGACAGTATTTCTTTTGTAATTAATTGAGACACAATAACAAAATAAAAAGCAATACCTAAGTATAACGATCATTTTTCAACATCAATTATTTAGAACAAAGTGAATGCGATGATTTTCAATAGATCTCTCGGTTACAAATTTAAAATTTCTTGTGAAGGGCATACTGGTTTGTGGTAACGAGGTAAGGTGTGTTTGTATATCTTCACTCCAAGTTAGTTTAAAGAAAAATTGCATAATTTTTATACTGCCATAAATTTTTTTAATCGAACTATCATTGTGTGAAAGTAAACAACATAGATAAGTTAGAATTAAATCAATTATTAGAGCAATGGTTACCATGTGTGGGAAGAAAGTGTGGCTGACATTGAGATGGGCTCTGGTCTCTGCTTGGCCAGTCAAGGCCAACACAGTGCCTTGTAAGTTGAGGAGTCAATTATGTAATTCTGCTAATTTTTCAGTTATCATGTCACTGGTGGTGGCAGAGTGTGGTGCTCGGTGCTCCACATAAGATTCAAGCTTCTTGACTTTGTAGGCTAGCGACTTGTGATTCTTCGGTCAGTGTTGTGTTGCCTTTCAATATAAACACATGGAGTGACCTACTGTGAGCATGAGACCGGTTCTTCTTGAAATAGTTAAAAAAAATTAAATCCTAGAAGTTATTTGATTTAATTCCTCATAATTCTGTGAGAACTGTTTTACACAATGGGGTTTTTTTATTCTGTTTTTAGACTGGTTTTTGGGACCCTTTATCCTGCTTATGCATCCTACAAGGCTGTTAGAACAAAGAATGTCAAAGAATATGTAAGTATGCCTGCAATCATTGGCTTTTGAGTTCTGGTGTAGATAATAGAGCAAAGATTATTGTTCCGGATATTTTTTTTTCTTGTAGAAAGTTGCAGTTAGTACGGTACTACTGGAAATAAACACTTGTGTTATATAAATATAGTCTGTTAAAGAGTTTTTTTTTTTTTTTTTTTTTTTATGGAATCGTAGTGTTGGTTTATTATTTATGAATTCCTATTTATGGAAAAACTTAGGCCTTTTGCAGATATTTTCATAAATATCAATAGGTACAATATCAGTATAAAAATGTGACAATAATTTATATTGTTAATGCCAAGCAAGAGTCACAACAAATAAGATTTTGTTATTAGAAAATGAACAGTAAAACAACTGATAACACTCAGGATTTATTTTGGTAAACTTGTTTGTACTTTTAAGACTAATTTAAGGCACGTCGCACACTGAGTCCGCTCAGTTCAGTCCGCTCAGCTCAGCTCAGGTCAGTCAGCTCAGTTCCGGCAGTTTTCCCACACACTGCGTCAGTTCGGTCCGCTCAGTTCAGTCGTTTTTAAGCGTGACAATCGCTAGTGGACGACATACACTGACATTGTTCACAAGTAAATTATTTGTGTCGAGATTTCCTATTTGTTATGAGTTCCCCCAGTAGTGACTAAGGAATAGCTGTAATGGCATTGGCTCTAGCTGCAGAAGAGGATGATAAAGTTGTCAGGAAAAAGAGACGATTATGGGTTAACAGTATCAATATATTTTCTATGTATCAATGATATTTCCTCCCACGCGGCCTCCTTTATTGTAATGTAGTAATCCTTGCGTGACAGGTCGTACAACAATGGATACGTCTCTACTACTGAGATCAGTCGTTCGTCGAAATTCTTATTTAATAAATATCACACAGTAGGCCTACTACGAACATGTGTCAAACCCCCTAAATTCAGTTGCACAATACTGACAGCTGTTTACTCTCCACTGCGCATGCGCGGCACCTCCGTTCCTTCCGTCGCTTCCGCCCAAATCGCTCGCCAACCGAAAACTGGCTGAGACGGACGGAGCGGACTGAACTGAGCGGACCCAGTGTGCGGCTCTACATTTGAATGCATAATTTTCGAAATCTGCGGAACGGACTGAGCTGAGCGGACTGAACTGAGCGGACCCAGTGTGCGACGTGCCTAAGTCCTGTTGTCAGCAAACCTAGACAAAATAGACTTAAAATAAATATTTTTTAATTCAATATTATTAAGTTTGTTTATTTGTTGAATTCACATGTTTTTTATAGGTAAAATGGATGATGTACTGGATAGTATTTGCTCTCTTCACATGTGCTGAAACTTTCACGGATTTGTTCCTAAGCTTCTGGTAAGTATTGCAAGAGTTGAGAAAGATTTATTTATGCCTAACTTAAAAGTTTACAAGTTTAAAAAGTCGCTACAAAAAGTATAACCAGTATCAAGTTTCAGATTTAATGTATTTTTTGGAAAGAACATGAAGTATCTGCAGCTTAATTTTAGTTCTGGAGATGCCAGAAATATTTAAATTGATTTATTTCCAATGTATCATCTCTAGCTATCTCACTTGGCATTAATTGGTGTTTTCTTTAAGATCAGTTTGTACCTGATAAAATTATGCCTGCAATTAAATGCTTAATGGATGATCATTTCGGTCTTTAGTTACATTTAACAAAAATTTAAGGAGTCTCAGGTCAAGATTTTTTTCATGAGACCTACAGTAATAGCTTATTTGCGATATTAAAAAAATTGTTAAAAGTAAATTTAGTTTGTGTTTGACTTGAGCTGCAACCTCGGATGATCCGAGGGCTTGGATAATCGAGAGCTTACTGTAGGTGTGTATCAGCTTTGAATATTGATAGAACAAGACAAAATCCATCTACATGTTAAAGTTTTTGTCGGTTTTTAACAAAATAAACATAGTTCAAGTGAGTCACCAACAGATTGCACTGATGTAAATTACTGATTTCTGTCGAATACACAGACTTTTTCACCAAGTCAAACTTTTAGGACAATTTATTGTACGCTTCTTTTATGTCACGTCAACATTCCCAGTAGTACAGAATAGGGTAGAAAATACAAGTTAGACCCTAGTGCAATCTATGTCACTCTAGCTTACAGAACTAAGTTATTTTTTGATAAGACATTGATAAGTCTATATGGATGGGATGTCTACTTCAGTATCCAATTAATAGTCAATGTTTTCAGATATGACTGTAGACATAGGTAGGCCTACTCATTAGCAGGCTGTGTTGCAGGTTCCCATTCTACTATGAGATCAAGATAGTGCTGGTGTTATGGCTGCTCTCTCCAGCCACCAAGGGGTCCAGTATTCTCTACCGAAACTTTGTCCACCCTGCTCTTACCAAACGAGAACAGGTAGGCTTATCATTTAATTTGGAGAAAACACACAAAATAGTAGAATAACTACTGCAAATTTTAAGCTGTTCGATAAGTTTGGTTGGTTAGGTTAGGTTGAGTCCACCCTGCTCTTACCAAACGAGAACAGGTAGGCTTATCATTTAATTTGGAGAAAACACACAAAATAGTAGAATAACTACTGCAAATTTTAAGCTGTTCGAGAAGTTTGGTTGGCTAGGTTAGGTTGACACTGTTCTAACCTAACCAAACCCAACTAAACTTTTCGAACACAGCTTAAAATTTGTTTTTTGAGTAACGGAACTAAAATTAACATTATCTCATTGTTGTGACAAAGTCAACAGTGATTCATTACCCCAGGTCGCTGCTGGAGACGCTACAGCGAACGGTTAAGCTCCCAGACAGATAAGATAAGTCCAACAACAATGCGGTTGTAAATACCTGGAAATGGTTCCATTCTACTATACAAAGTACTCTGTCATTGAAAAACTACGTTCTTCCAGAGATATTCAATAACTATGTTTGTTTCTACGTAGCAATTTAGTAGGCCTACCTGTTAAATCTGTAAAAACTCATATGACCAAACATTTTTACCATAAAACTATTTTGATCAATTATTAGATAATTGTATATGAACAAATCATCTGTATTATTTTCAAATTGTATCTCTAGTAAAGAGTGCATTTACACAACCAATGTTCAGTCACCGTCAAGGTACATTTTTTTTATTTTGTACTGGTATATTGCCATGTGATACGATCAAGTTTGTGGTATGATATCATGATATTTGATATCTTATGTTATTAGTGTACCTATATCAACTTGTTTTATCTAGTTTGCATCAAATTGAAAAGGTTATGGGCCCAGAGAGCTAAGTCCCAGTTAGTAATTGCCTTATTTATTGATCAAATTTAAAAGACTAGACTTACAAAATGTCAAGTAGTGAAAATGTATCTGTTTTACCTCAATTAACAAAAACTGAAGGAACTAATTTTGCCAATTGGAAGTTCAGATTAAAATTGTTTCTTGAGGATAAAGGAGTTGCTAATATTCTTTAAAATAAAGTAACAAAAAAAAAACAATAATTCATAGCCAAGGCTAATTTTTATAATTCAAGAGTTTAATTAATTACTGTATTACTCTGCCAAGTAAGGTAAATTTACATCAAATTGAAAAGAAATAACACGTGGTTAGGGGTAACATAAATCCTAAAAGATTTGAAAATGACCCTTGTTATCAAGGGTGTGGTTATTGAGGTACTAATCTATATGCACGCTTATTTTGTTGATGAAAATATCCGTATTTCATTTGTATATTTTCCATATGTTGCTATGCCAGACCAAAAGTGAAAAAGTAAACTTGAAAACAGTGCAGGAACTGGGTGTACAAGGGAGTGACTTGTAGCCTAGTTTGGCAGGAACCGTAAAATAACATGGGGATCGTATTTGTCACTGTGACCAAAAACACTCCCAGATGTGTTTGTTTTTCTGTCGTCGGCGGTCACTTGTCACTTAGTGTGGCCGTATTCATTTACTAAATGTTACACTTTTATTCTTTATTGTGGCAACCAAGTCACCATGTGTGGCAGTAGCCCTATACTGTTAACTCGCCAGACTGTAAATATATATTAAAGATGCAAATAGTGATTTATTTCGATTAGACGTTCCAATCACATCAGACTTGATAGGTGAATGTTATCGTTTGTGATTGAACCTTTATCGAGTGATTGCATTGTTTGTGCAGGAGATAGACGAGTACATCAGCAAAGCCAAGGAGCAGGGATACCACACCATGCTGCAGCTGGGGTCCAAGGGAGTTACGTACGCGACTAATGTTATCATGCAGACTGCCATCAAGGTCAGTAGGTGACTTTGTCTCTGATTAAGGATTTTGATTTTTACATAAATTTATTTGACCCTGCTTAAATCTTTCTATGTTTTCCCCAGTAATCGCCAGGTATCATATCCAGAGAATAAGAACACTGCAGGGATTTAGTTTGAAGATTTACTTTTGAGGCTTAGTTGAAATTTATTCTGATTCTTACCTTCACTTCTGGCTACTGTATATGTATTATGTAGTAGCAAATTACTGTCGCCTCATGTAGCAGATTGCTTCTCTCAACATTATCTCAGTTGGAGTTGAGCATTCTACGGATAATTTGGTGGTCGTCTTGAGTGGAGCCGGGTTTTTATATTATTTTAATGCAATCAGTATTCAGATTGGTCATTCATGTTTCTTAATGTGTCAGTACATGAAACAGCACCAGCCGCGCCCTACTAAAAGTTGTAGCCTTGGAAATTACCATCTGTAGAAGCGTAAACATTTGTAATCCTCCATTAAATATATTACAGTAAATGATACCTGCACACAATTTTCTGTTAATTAGTTTAGCATTCAACAGCAACAGCAAACATCTGAGCGCATGGTTTTTCCCTAAATATTTCTTTGCCAACCTGTTTTATTTAGTTATTTTTTGTTGTTTAGTTTTTTGTTTAGTTGTTATAATTTGATTAACACAGTTTTGTTTGTTTTGCTTGCTGTTGATGCACTGTGGTGGTGACTAACGCTTGTGTGGTGGTAGAACCTCCCCATTGGTGACAACCAGGACATGAAACCTGTAACTCACCAGGACCAGCACGATGCCCCCCCTCGCATGTCTGGGGACAGTATGGATGTAGCTGAGTTTAGTGATGACTCGCGCCCCTCCACACCTCCTCCCGACAACCATCTTCCTCCCCCCACCTCCCCAGCTCATAACACGCGCAGTCGTAGGGTTCGTCAACGCACTGTCAAGACTAAGTAATCTGTGATCACTTATATTAGTGCCATTGCTATTTCATGCCATTTTTATGATTTAATCATTTAGTCATAGTCAAGCTTTTTGTTAGTTTGGCACTAGAGGTAATTTATTGTTTTCACTTGTAAATTCCTGTTAGTCTTTGTTGCGTTTGTTTTGAAGAGGATGTTTAAATTTGTTGTGATTTTAGCATTGAAGCGCTTTTTTTGTTTGGAAACTAGTGGATCTAGGGCCTATTTTTAATTTAAAAAATTGAAGTATAATAAATGAATTGAAAAACAATATTGATATTGGTCTGTTATTAATACTCTTATAAAATGAAGTTGAATGTATATTAATTCCGTTAACTATTCAAATATTTTATTCCCCATTACTCATAAAAGACTGAAATATTACTTGTAAGAATTTTAAAGGGAGATGTTGTTAGAAATAAGTCAAGCACTGATAGTACTTTGGTCTCTTAAACAAATCTTTTATTGTAGGTCTAAATGTTTTTGTAAGTTACTGACTAGATCTCAAATTTTGAGATGTTCATTTTTAGCGTGTATGCTCAAGATGTGATATAAGATTATAAAAAAAAATAGGTGAATTATAATTTTTAATACTATTAAAGTTTTTAGAATGAAATGTATGCTTATGAATTATACCTTTGGTCTGTATGGAAAACGTTTAAGTGATGATCAGAATTTTACTACCTTGTTTTTCCCATTTACTTACCACATTCTTTTTGTGGAATATGCAAGCTAACAAGTTATGACCAGCTCAGTGCTAAAAGTAAATAACCATATAATTTCGGTTAATCAGTTCAGAAAATACTTTCTTAAAGAAAACCGTTATATTTCATTTTGGTTTAGATTAGACCCTAGACAATTATACTATGTTTTGCACAGACAAATTTGAATAAAAGTGGTGCAGTATTAATAAGGCATAAAAACAATAATCCTTCATTTTGTTTTAGAGTATGATCATATATTTAGGGATGTGTCCCTTCTCAATACCACCAATACTACTTGGACATTTAGTATCAAAATCAGGGGTGAGGTTCACAAACTCCAAATTTCACACACTAGAATTGTAAAATATTTAAATAGATAGATCGATTCACGAACTCCAAAGTACAGTCCGGGCCAGAAGTTGCTGCAAGGGTTGCTACGGTTAGATTGCAGGCCCCTCACATTCTTGCACTGAACCCAACCTAAATTCCCCTGCAGTAACTTCTGGCCAGGACTGTACCTTTGCAGTTGGTGAAACCTGGAGTTCGTGAATCGCTCTGTTAATTTAAATATTTTAATATTCGAGTGGTGAAATTTGGAGGAACGCTCCCGATATTGGGAATCTATTTTCAAAACTCGTTACCGATAACGGCAACGGACATTTCTCAAAAATTTGGCTTTTTACGCAATTGCGGATGACTAAGATAACGTTTCCGTGACCATAGGAGAAAATGGTGATGTCCACACAACCGCAGGAGCATTTATTGATTTTACCTCGATCGTAGATGTAAACAATGATGTACCTGTGACTGTGGGGGATTCAGAGATTTTCCGCAATCGTGTAAGGCGATGATACTGTTCTTCACTCCCCAGACCGCAGAAGTATTGTGCCACAATCGTGGTAGACTATGATAACATCTAGAAGATTGCGGGAGATGTAGATGATATAGCTGTAATCGTGGAAGATTTTGATGATGTTTTTGTTACTGCTGAGAGATATTCAGAATTATCCTGTTGTCGCAATCGATGTTGATGATATAATTGGTCTAAACTTTAACTGGCTATAGTTTTAGCAATCTGGAAATGCCCCTGGACGCCAGGTCAGTTTCCCTCACATGCACGCACACTCACCCTCACCAGCAGAGAGGAGGATTAGGACCGACCCTAGATCGGCCGTAATTACGCTTCATTAGTTCTTTTATACCACTTGTAATAAAAATGTAACTTTTTAAAGATGTAATTTTAAAACAAAACTGTTAATGCATTTAAATTCTGCTAATAAAGTTGATACCAAACAACCCATGATTTACTTAAATATTCGTTCACAAAACATGCTGCAATATATTTCAGGTTGCCGATGACTAATATTGTTGTTTAGTATAAATTTTCTTGTTTTGATGAGCAGAATCAATTACTGCTAACTATTTTAGGTTTAATATTAAAGTAAAAAAGTTTTACACTTGATAAAGGAAATGCCACTTGCAACTAATTACCAGAGCACGGGACAGAATGTGGCCATTCTTAACCCTTTGTGGTGGAATGGCTAGTATAGGTCGCCACCCGCCACTTTGCCGACTGCTCAAAAATGGCATACTATAAGGAAAAAAAAATTAATAAAAAAAGTTAATTTTTTTGGTCAAATGGCAAGTATAGGTCACCGGGCGCCATTTTTCCAACAGCTCAAACGACAAAATATACTCTCCGAAAAATGGGAAAAAAATTCGACCTCAAAGGGTTAATCCCTTGTCCTTGTGTGAGTGAGGCCTGAGTGTGTGTGCGTTCAGGGGCACTCCCGACATCTCATTATCCTAAAATTACTTTGTACAATAAAGGACATAAAGACAGAAGGATGGTGTAGTACAACCAATCCATGTAGAACATTTCATTAAATAAACAAAAATGTGTCTGTGACGAGACATGATTTTTTTAGGTATTGGTATTGAGAATCCATACATTTTGGTAACAACACATTCCTAGTAGTTATATCTATGCATTATATTTGAAATCATAATTTGACCCATAGGAAAAGCAATCTTTTTGTTGCTCAGTTTTAGACTTTTTTTTTAAGAGATGGCCTCGTCTACATAGACTAACTGCCCGTGCGTGGAACGTATCCAGCAAAGCAAGGGGTGAGCCAGTACAGTACAAAGGTGAACTGTACTGATAAAATGTTTTCGGCAGTGACCAGGATCCGAACCCACGACATCGCTGCCTTGGGACCGAAGTCCGTGGCGCTACCGACTGACCTAACCCAAAACCACAACACACAAAACTCCACTTCTCAAAACAGTTTCAATAATTGTGTGTGCTCAGCTCTACATGGCCCAGCTTATAGAGCAATTCAATTTGATGTTGAGGATGGCAATGTATGATCCTAGTGATGTTTGTTGTGCATCGTAGTAGGTACAGTAGACGCCTAATAAACCAGCACATTCAGAACTTGCGCGGTGCAGGATTATTGAATTAAAAACCCGCCATTTTCGCGGTAGCAGCGGAAACACCGCTAATTTTAGATCCTCAAAAGGAAATCATCCGGTGGGCCATTCTATATTTTACTGTACAGTAGAACTTCGATAGTTTAACACTTTGTGGTTTCGAACCATCGAATTGTCAAAAACTTTAGGGAGTATATTGGACTTTCAAACGGAGGGAGTGTTTAAAATACAAGAACAAAATAAAACAAACAAATGTAATAAACCAATCAACTTGAATGAATGAATGAATTTATTCCACCATGCATATTAAATTGCGTAAGATTACTTACATCCCTAATGTGCAGTCTTTGGCTCCTTACTGTATAAAATAGTTTTAATAGGCCTATTCAATTGTTTTTTACTTTGGATGTTTGGAAAGAATTTAAGTGAATGGGATAACTGAAGTATTGAGTTTTTGCAAGCACCAAAACGATAAGAAAGGCTCTAGTTACTGACCTCGATAAACCCATCATCAACTGCTGCCAACATGTCACATCATCGAGACATGTGTCGAACTATCGAGGTTCTACTGTACCTTCTCTTATTTTAATAGTCGTTTAAACAGTACAATATACTCCTTGTATTATAAATTACAGATTAGTACAAGGATTTCTTTTCATGCAGGGTATAGTGTGCTAAATCCTGTGTTCATATGTTGAAGTTGTTTCACCATTAATATTCTAACCTGCATAAGTAGAGTGGACTCAAACTCATCCAGACTAATGTGGCAAATGTTGGATCTGAATGATAGAAAGTGTGGATTTTTAGAAGGTGCCAGGTTTATCAATTTCACAATTTATCCCAAGCAGTCTTGTGCAATAACATAGGCCTACTGATACAAAAGTGAGCGTCTTGTATTTACTAACAAATGATACTAACTTACTGATTCTCCCTAACTCCCTTATAAGTTTCCACTGTCATGGACCATTATTAAAGCACGTTGGTGGAAGTCAACTTTACATCTGTCCTGACACCTCACTTGGAAGCAACCTTTATTGCTGTTTACCCACATTATCGCACAGTTTTGTTCCAATATCACAAACACCCTGTTGTCAATCCTCATTTCACTCACTACCACTAATTTAATATGTAAAACAAAACAGTTCACTCTGCATATAAACTAATAATCCTGGAGCAACACAAAACAGTAAGTAATAAAAGGTTAAATGACATCTGCACCCACAAAGTGTATAAAGTAAAATCTGTCTAGTGTAGGTGAGAGGTATGTCCTCTTTTTGATCACTGTGACTAATAGCCAGAGCTATAGTGAATGTATATTATACCATTGACAATACACAGGAGGCCTGATAATTGACAAATGTTTGAAATTAGGGAATTTCAGAACTGTTTGTGAGATAACGGTAAGTGTTTTAGGATTTACAGGTTTCAATTTACAAAAAGTTAATTTTTTAAATTAATGGAAAATTACTGAAAACTCAATCAATTATGAAATATAGTTATCAAAGTAAACAATATGACTCACAACTCTGTGCCACAGATGTAACTGTAACCATTCCCTACTTCAAAACCTGTGATAAATATCAAGTACAAGTACAATGCCTCAAGCTGCTTGAGGTATAACTGTACTTGTACTTGATATTTATTAGAGGTTTCAAGCACTTTGTGTCTTGTCAAACATAGAGATTTTTGAGATAATTCAACATGTTTCACATCTCTATTATGATACCAGAGGACAAGCAATAGCTTACAAAGATTGTACTGTTTAGTTGATATTAGTAAAATCTGAAAAAAATATTTCAAAATCTCAACTTTTGACTATTTTGGTAGAAGTAGGCCTAGTGATCGTATTCCCACACTAAAGCTGTCACCAGTTTTAGAATGAAAATGAGCCATGTTGAATTGAGCTGCTCACATAGTGCACTGTTTTTAATTGTTGAATTTGCCAGTAAACTGAAAGTGAGACTCATTGTAAAACTATATATCTAATTAACTATACAGCCCGATGTGTTTATTATTACAAATATTTACCCACTTCTAGAATAAGTAGGGATCTGGATCTGAAATTTTTTGTGGAGGTCCATCTTGGTCCCAAACAACCCGAACCACCCAGAAAATTCAAAAAAGTTACATTTTCCACTTTCAACCCCCCTAAAAAAATCCCTTAGATTTCGGTTTTTTTTTAACGGCTGTAGCTTGAAAACGGTAAACGCTAGAAATGATTTGAAAGGCAATCGTTACAGGAATAAAATTTTCTACAAGACACTCTTAGGAGTTTTTTGAAAATTGCTCTCCTTCACCTTAAAAAAACGCCCTACTTCCCAAAATTGTAAAATTTCTTGGATTTCTTACGTGCTTTAATTTTTAAAACAACTTTTCAGACTTTGTTCTTTTAATGCTCCCAACTTTTAGAGAAAGCGCCAAAAGTGACATTTTAAAAGTGTAACACACTAAAAAAATTTTAAATGCGGATTTCCAAACAAAAAGGTAGTTTTAACGCTTTTTGGGTGGTTTTTAAACTTATTTCTTATGGAGAATAAGCATGCAGTGGCAAGCATACGAGACACTTGATAAAATTATGAGAGTGGATTGATAATGGCCGTTAATAAACAGAACAAAGTTTAGACGTCATCTCAGCCCCCAGCAAGCCAAAGGGAGTCATATTTCTATGTCACATCAACTATGATAGCCTAGTATAAAAAACTAAAGGGAGGAATAGAAATTTGAATATAACCTATTCTGTGAATAGCTAATAAATATAAATTCTATTTGAATAAAAAAATAAATGACAACTGGGCCATATAGATGGACTTGAGTATCCTAAAGTCAATGCCTTCATAATACAAGGTCACAAGGAATAATCTATTCAGGTGCACATAAGAAAAAATCTATATACAGTATGTTCAAATGGTTAAATATTTCAAACAATTATAAAAATAGATTTTTTGACAAAAATCTAAACTGAAAATGTAAACGGAAAATGTAAACAATATGTTACTAATAACGTTTTATAACTTTTAACAAGTAACAACATTGTTTTGTATTTTTAAGCGAGAAGGGGCCTTCAGCCGGAGCCCTCTGCGATAGCGGACCTGTGGACCTAGCCAGTCCGGGCCTGTTTTTTGTCCTAAGACGCTAGGCACGAGCCTGGGATCGTTTTTCATATTACTTCAGGCTATACCTAGGGGTTGTGGCATTATCACTTAGATAAAATCCATTGGTGATGTGGCGGGATCTGAACCTGGGACCTCAGGGACTGCACTCCCGCGCTCTAACCACTAGACCATCATGCTCTCCAATAAAAATAGATTAGAGATTGATTAATTTAGAACAAAGATAATCCTCATGAAACCATTGTAAAACATAATTCAGTGATGCACTACCTCCTCAGGGGATGGCCTGCTAGAAGTCAGAAGAAAATCTTAAATATAAGCATATGTTTACCACTTCACTTTTTTGGTAGTAAGGAAGTTTTTGGGCTCTGAATGTTTGCACTGGGCAGCACCACCAAAGGCCAGCTCCAATTTGTTGATTCTTATTCGTAATAACATTATGAGTTTTGCTTTAATAATCTGTTATGAATCTTATATTGCATTATTATGACACACAAATAAACTTTTAAACTAATTCAATTTGTATGTCTTCTGTAGGCCTCTTTTACATTTGAAAGTTATTATGATTTGCACAGGGTGGTGGTGGACTAGTGAACCACATCCGTCGCAGCTACAGCCTGAGTGATCTATCTGATGACATGGACATCAAGTCTGACCTCAACCGTAACAGTAAACTGCACGCTGACAATATTGACTCAGCTGATGTTCCTAGAGGTAAGGAAAGTCACGTCCTTCATGTTCTCATAGAACCAAGTTTTTGTTTGAGTGCATTCTGTGTTACTGTCACTTTTATGACCTGGATTAAAAATTACCTATTCAGGTGCACCTTGTGTTTGGTCCCAGTCCACTTTTACGTGACTATGCATTTGCGTGTATTTTGTATTTTGCAAAAAATAACTTTTCTGTATTATTATTTTATAAAACAAGCTGTTGGGAAATAGAATTGTTAGCGTCACAAACAGCAGTTTGTGAAGGAAGCAGTTTGTATAAATTTGCTTGCTTTACACCAGAATGCATCCTTTGTGCAAAGCTACAGCTGATTATTGACAGGCTATATACCAAACTAAGAACACCCATCGATTATGGAGTCCCTAACAATATACTGGTAAACATTTTGATGGTTTGTCAACACATAAACTGTTTATTTTCAAGATTCCAGAAGGACTCCTCGCAAGACTGTCGGCAGCCATGTTGATCTCTACTTTCCTGAAATGGATGTTGATATTCGATCTCACTCCCATGAGCTTCCCGTTTCCCTTAGGTAAGTTCATCCATATGAGAATAAATACTGTACAAGTTCTTCAACATAAGTTGAAGAAAGGTGACAATCTGTAATTTTAAACAGCAATATCTTTCTTCGAAACAATAAATATTTAGTGCTATTGATTCAGTAAGAACCATTTTAATTGAGTAAAAGAAATTAATTAAGAAAATACTCAATTGTTTAGTAAAACTTAATTTAACAACACAAATTAGTCCTATATCAAAACTAAAATATAATACTTATTTTTTCAAAACATTGGCCATAAAGCATTTTGTCAAGACTTGAAATACCTATCAAAAAGAGTGAAATTTGGTTTTAAATGTTTCCAGCAAAGTACCCACATAGCACCGAATATTTATTTGATATCAAATAGCTATCAAATTTTTGACATTTGAATATCAAATTGATATTCACGAACATTTGTTTGATATCAAATAAACGTTCAATTTAGGTTCAAACGTCACTCAATTTTACATCAAATAAATATTCAAATTGAATATAAAATAAATATCAAATTTGACATTCATAAATTTATTGGTAAAATATAATAAAGAGAATATGATTGAATTTACATTCACATTTTAAATATGATGGTGATAAATATTGATATAACATTTTTGACATTCGAATATTAAATTAATATTCACGAACATTCATTTGATATCAAATAAATGGTCAATTTAGGTTCAACCTCACTTAATTTGACATTAAATAAATATTAAATTGAATATCAAATAAATGTCTCATACATTTATTAGTAAAATATGTTTAGAAGAATTAGGTTGAATTTTTTCACATTTCAAATTTCATGGCGATTAAAATAATATCAGTTCAGACTTCTTTACTGTTCTTACCTTGATTTGACTTATTATTCTGAAGTTATAGGTACTGTAGTTTGTTAAAGTTCTTGGGTGACCCAAAAATGTAAATATATATATATATATTTCTTATTTGACAAAACATTAACAAAAGTATCATAAAACATATTTGTTTAAAACAAAATTGCATTCAAGGAAAACATTTTAAAGAAAAAACTTTGTTTGTATGATAAAATAAGTTTAATTAAAAATTATTTAAACACAAATATAAAAAAGATATGTACAATTTACAAAAAAAATAATTCTGGTCTTCTTCATCTCCCAAATGGCCTTCTTGAGTTTTCTATTGTTCCTGTAAAAGAGGTTCAACAGAGTTATTTTCTAAGACAGCTATAGATAAAATATAATATGTTAGACAAGGGGTCTCCAACCCTTTTTCCTCGGTGAGCACTTTTTTGTCTAAAAACGCCACCGATTTAGCGACTAACGTTAATTGTTCGCTACTCTATCGAATCACAACATCATCTACTATCGATGCGATTGTAGTTGTCGTTTGTCACAAGGTAAAGGCTTTTTGTGATACGGACGAAATGAGAGCATTCTATTATAAAATTAAAATGTCGTTACCTAACCAAATTAACCAAACTTGCTGATTGTGAAAAAATTGAATTAAGGTTTACTACGGACAAAATGAGAGCATTCTATTATAAAATTAAACTGTCATAAGCTAACCTAACTTGCTGATAATATAAAAAAATATACAAGATAAAAATTGAATGAAGATTAGATTTAACAAGGTTAGGTTTGCAGCCATGGAGAAGGTAAAAAGTTTTTTTGAGCATACGTCAATAGTATAGGATAAAGTAAATAAGTTTGCCACATTTTATCAAAATCTATCCATAAACAAATAAACTACATAGTTTCCTTTTTTAATAATCTAAAATATAGTTCTGTTCATAAAATAAAATTATAAATGCCTCTAATTCTAACGAAAGATGTGCAATTAAGAAGTAATCACATTCTAAGCTAAATCTTCGACAAAAAGTTCAATGATTTTTTAGTGAGAATAGGCTATAAAATTTGACACTTAAAATGTCAGCTAGTTTAAGATTTCAATTTGTAGTTCTGCCAATTAGGATCAATTAAAAATATATATATCTATATAATTAATACGCTACATGAAACTTTGTCGGTTGAACTTCTCCGCCATTTCTTAACCGATTTTATCCATTGACGACTCATTGGAAAGAGCGTGTCGCGTAGATTTGCAAACTGGCCTTACATTTTTGAAAAAAATCCCTTGGGCTCTGCCCCAGTGGCTTTGAAAGTTCTCATGTTATCCTTATGAAGAACATAATTGTTTACATTTTGATCAGCTGTATAATTTAATTGCTGTTATTTATTTTTCAATTCAATGAAATGCATTGAGTACATTTATTTACTATTTGAGTTTGTGTAAACATAACCCCCAAGACGGATCGTGTTAGTATGGTTGTATCTTAAATTTGTGTATTTATCGTTGTTTTGTGTCGCTATGACGGATCGTGTTAGCATGATTGTAATTTAAATTTGTGCATTCATCGTTGTTTTGTGTAGCTATAATTTGTTTATTTGTTGTTTTTTTATGCCTCCGACGCGACGACAACGAAACATAAACAGGAGGCGTAATCGTGATAACAACCGCAGCTACAGAAACAGAACAGTGTGGTGCGTAATAGGCTTAACTCATCACAGTCAGCACCTGACCCTGGACAAACACAACTATTAGGTTACAAATGCGCCCTTTAACACTACCCCAAAACGACTTTTCGTTCTCAATTAGTTCTCTATCATGACCTGTGTTGCCTGTACAGCGAGGCATTTTAAGAAGGAGAAAACCGGCCGGAATGCTTTAAGTCTATCAATAACGAAGATAAAGATGGTCTGAGTTACAGTACACACCAGTAATCTTATTGAGTTGAGTCTTTTAAACACATTGTAAATATGACTGTTATTCGTTTTGAAATAATTCCTGTAATACTTTGCAATTGCTCGAATTCGAGCAACATGTACACTAGTTCAAATTAATCTGCCGCTACTTGACTACTACTAATATTCCCCTAGGCCTATTGAGAAAAAGTTAGCAAGTGAGAGACATTTAGGTACTATGTTCCTATTTAAATACGTTAACCTGCCAACTTGGAGACAGGGTATTGTACACAAATTTTGTTGAATGGGGAAGAGACAGTTAATTGCTCTTAATTATGGTATGAGCCGCGAGGTAAATAAATATCCCATGGCTGAGCCTGCATTCTTTGACAAAGTTCTCTTTTTACACCTCAAGGAAATCACGGTCAACAATGAAGGGTGTTGCTGGGATTGCAAAAGACAATCACGGCACCGTCGAGACTGCAGTATAATATGCTCGTGAGTCTTGGCGAGATCACGGGAGATGATCACGATATAGCTGAGACCACCTGACCACACGTGTTTACGCAATCGTGGGAGAATATAATTGGTGTTTGCTATAAAACATAATAATTTTCAAAAACGTATGCTGGCTTTCTGCTGGCTGGAATAAAACTGCACGAGGGCCGGATGTAGCCCACAGGCTGTAGGTTGGAGACCCCTTCGTTAGGCATTTTTAAGACCTATTTTTTTACTATACCTGTACTTTATAATTAAATTTGTCGATAAGGCATTGAGTTCTTGACAATAAAGCAAAAAGAGATGGATAAAACTGCAGATTAAGTTTTGCTCATTTGCATAGCCTGTCACTGAAAATTCACAATTTGAAAAGTTGCTCATTTGCATAGCCTGTCACTGAAAATTCACAATTTGAAAAGAAAACATCACAGTAGTTAGATGTCGGCCTAATCTGTTAATTATAATAAAATTTAAGTTCTATATTAGGTAATAGATAAGCAATCTTTTCTTTAACCTAAATTATAAATAACACAATAAATTTACCTTGCATCAATCCTAAACTTTGCTGGGCGAAGCCAATTCTTGATTATAGTAGCAACAACATATATTTCCATTACACCACGATCCTAGTGTTCTTGCGTACCGGTTCTGCCTCTGTATAAAAGAGATTAGTATTAGCACTAGAATTTGTATATATTTTAATTTTCCTGATCAACACCCAGGATAGCCTACAACTAGGTACACATATTAAATTGTTAGTGAAATCTATTTTATATTTTGATGGCATTTGCTTCTTTTGAGTAGCCTTGTTAAAGCTAAATCTAAATCTGAAAATTGAAAATTTTGACCTAGGTAGTGGTAAAAGTAATCCTCAGTCACTTGAACGGACAAATATTGGGGTGAGCACTGACTGAAATGAGTGCAACGGTCGGATGTAGTTTGGTGTGTGTATAGGCCTATGTGTGCGTTTAAAAAAATTCAACTAATACAGTTTTCTTTTACACAAGTTAGCACTGCCGGAATATTTATATAGTGTAAATCAAAGACTTCCTATATAAGTGGGTCACAAAAAAGAGAAACTCTCTTAACTGTGTGATGAACCTTAGGCTACGTTATTACCCAATAGGTACCTATCATGAATTAGGTTGTGTTTTGGTGGTAGAGCCTAACTTATCTACAGTTCCTAAGAGAACCTGCGATATATTATCGGACGGTATATATATCTGATTTGATATTAATATTGCAAAACCAATTCACCAAATCTGCAAATCATAACTCAATTTGATGTTTACATAGTGAAAAAACATAGGGAACGATGTATTGAATCGGATAATTATTGATATATAATGTTAGCCTATTCATCCGATAATATATCGCAGGTTCTCTGCGGAACTGTACCCGTTATGGCAAAAAAGACATACACAGTCATGGCGAATCAAACAGAAAAATTGAAATAAAAACACCTAAGATTGAAACTTTATTTTAACTTTGAGAAAACCTAATTGAAATATATGTATGTCTACCTATTATTAATGTCTGATTGTAAATAAAAAAAAAAAAAACTTACGCAAGATAGCTGGCTTCAGATGCAGATTGCAAAAGAAAAATTTATTCCTCCTTCCCAGCCTACAGGCTGCTAGACAGCCACTTTGTCACTCGGAAGAATTGGTACCGTAGGCAAATTATTCACAGCTACCAAATAATAACTTCCACCAAAGCTGCAGAGTTATCAACTGAAACAATGGAGAGAAAACTACTTTTAGTTAAATTCATGCATACCTTTCTCTGGCCTAAATATGTATCAAGATTAGTTAGGCCTAATCATTGGTTGGTAAAGGAAGCAGACAACAACTAAAATACAAAAGACTAAGAGACAATACAGGGGTAGACTTTCGTATCTGTTGTCAAAAACAACCGAATGAAAATATCAATCGTTATAGCCTATGTTCATTCAGTTGATTTTGAAAACAGATACGGAAGTGTACCTACCCCAATTCAGTTTAAAAGGAAAATGGATTTCAAATAGGCTAGGCTATTTCTTTTATAATACCGGTAAATTGTAACCTGGTTGAGGTAGAATATGTTAGGCCTAGGCTAGCCTAAATTAAGTTAACTTATTCTTGATGGTGAATTTACATAAACTTAAGTTAGTGACTGACGTAAAATATAACCCACATAACTTAGTAATATTTCAAAATTAGCCTTTAACAAGGTATTTCAACACAGTATGATATTCCATTTGCCTTGTAAACCAGTAAGTTAGTCCTACTTACTAGCCTATATATTGAACACTATTTTCATCCGGAAGTTGCCCTTTGAAGCTAAATAAACTACTGGTTCAGTAAGAACTAAGCAAGCCGCCTAACTTAGTAGCTTACGCCAAGGCCTAATTAGTATGCAGAAAAATACTTCCTCTAAAACAGATTGCCTATTTTGAGGTTTCAGATTTATCTATTTATCCTTAAGTTAAGACATTAGGAATGATAAGTTGGCCAATTTAATTTGTACAGTAGCTTAACTTGGGTCTAGGTAAGGCCAAGGCCTAAAATACGTCTATGTTACTAGGTATAGTGACTTATACTTACATACTCCAAGGATCAAAACGTGAAAAGATGTTCAGTGTAGGTTATGCCAATACCCAGTCACAAAAATAACAACTCTAAACTAACAGTGACACACACTAAACAAAATATCAGCACACTTAAGTTAACTGATTTGAGGTTATGTCTTGTTCTTGAATCTTGATACTCTTGTTGCTTCCATAGTTTATTTTCACTACTTGTGTAGCCTACTCAACAAGTTAGTTGTCATAGGTACATTTTACATAAATCGTGTACTTTCCCTCAAAATGGGCAATTTGTTGGTTAATAAATAAATAAATCCACACCGTCAGTAAACTGGCCACCACTGGTCGCGCGACGGATTTTGTAATTTGTTTTGAATTGTAATGTTTTGTTTTGTTTGCTGAGTTAGGTTAGAATTAAGTTGGTGTTTTGTCTTCAGTCTTCCTCTCATAGGAATGGGCCAAGTCAAGCTCAAACTAGATACTTAACATATTTTTAGAGTTATATTACACTTAAAAAAATTTAAATTTACGTTTGGTTTAATTTACTAGTAAAAATAAAATGATAAGGCCAATCGTTAAGAGTTTGACTTTTTTATTAATAAACAAAACTTTTAAAAAAGCTGTGTTTCCTATTCACTCTTCTTGAAATGTGTAGTAAGCCTAGATTCAGAAAAATATCAGATGTTCCGACAACTCCCCCCCCCCCCCCCGCGAAAAGTCAAAATCCATCATCAATTAATTAATAAACGGTATCAGCATTCTGACACATACTTTCTCCCATAAGTTTGTCAACAACCTTTATCATGTGTAAGCGGTGAGAGTAAATACGGAAATGGAATTTGTACAATTTTCTTCAGAATTTAAAGGACTATAAGATACTAAATTTTTATAAAAAAACGTTCAAGCCAATTTTGGGAAAATGTGATTTTCCGTTATTTTATGGGGTTTTTATGGGAAAATAACATAAATTACAATAACTTTTGAACCGTTATTTTTACAGAGATGGGATTTGTACCATTTTGTTCAGAATATAAAGGACTATAACATACTAAATTTTTATCAAAATCGTTCGGGCCATTTTTGGGAAAATCTTATTTTTCCGTTATTTTATGGGGTTTTATGGGAAAATACCCATTAAAAATAAAAATTTCTAAAAAATGAAAAAAACTATCAACATTGTAAGGACCATAACATACTATGTCAAATAAAAACCGGATTTTTGTCTAAAATCCTGTTTTTCGTTATTTTATGGGGTTTTATAGGAAAATAACATAATTTACAATAACTTTTGAACCGTAATTTTTACAGAAATGGGATTTGTACCATTTTGTTCAGAATTTAAAGGGCTACAACATACTAAATTTTTATCAAAATCGTTCTGGCCATTTTTGAGAAAATCCGATTTTCCCGGTTTTTATGGGTTTTTATGGGAAAACCCCCATTAAAAATCAAAATTTTAAAAAAATGAAAAAAAACGCCTGGAGATACCATGGATTAGAACCTACATACCAAATTTCATCGAAATCGGACCACAGGTGTAGTCTCTAGCTCTGTACACATCCAGACACACACACACACACAGACGCACAGACACACACACACACACACACACACAGACATCACTTCGAAAACCACTTTTTTGGGTCCAGGGGGACCCAAAACGAATATATCCACTCAAAACTCAAACTCGAAAATTTTGACGAAAACAATACTTTCTCCATATACTATGGTATAGGGGGAGAAAGTAAAAATTACAGTGTTCAGTGTTCCTTCCTATTATTAATTATTTTGAGATAATTGACCTCCGACTTCCATGTTACAAACTGTAGGCTGGGGACTATAATTCTTTACTCTAAAAAATTTAAAAAGTTAAATCTAAAAATTTTTAAAACTAGTATATTTGGAAATTTTCAAAGAGAAAATCAAATTTTTAACATTAAGAATATTTAGATAATATTCTAAATTTGATGTTATTTGACTTTGATATTTTGAAGATACAATAAATATTCAAAGTTTGACATTGTTTTACTTTGACATTTTGAACATTAAATGAATATCAAATAAATATCAAATTTTTGATTTGACATAGTTTGATATATTGAACGTTTATTTGATATCAAATAAATATTCTGTGCTATGTGGGTAGTGTAAATTCAATTTAAGTTCTATGACATGATACAAACCTGCGTTAATGTTGTATGTTAACAGTCACCAGTTCATTTGACAAGAGTGAAACAGTCTTTTCATCACTTTGTAATGAAAGTTACGATAACAGCTGACATCAATGAAAGTAGTTGTTTCCCAAGCTTCTAATTTAGGGTGAGGGAAAATCGATCAGCTGATTTTCAATCGCTCTAAATTTACTTTCCCTCGCTCTCGACTAGTTCTCTATTTACTCACTACGCACACTAGTGTTTTGTTACGATTTAATTTAATGATTTGAATCAGCTGTATGTATTGTTTAAAGTTGTTTTATTCTTTTATTTTGATGTTTAAAAAAAATGTATTGAGCAATATTCATAGGTTTCCTTTTAGAAGATTTTATTTAATTTTGATGGTTAAACAAATTTAAGAAATAAAATTGTTTTAATATTACTGATGTCTGTTATTCTCTGTTTGTGTATTTTTGCGTCGTGATGAAAAGTATCGTTCAGAACTCGTACCGAAAGTTATTTTCCCTTGCTCCGTTATTCCTGTCCTCAGCTTCGCCTCGTACGTGAAAATGGCTCTCACATACTCGGCTTCGCCTCGTACCTGAAATTGGGGTTTCCTGTAAATACTTGAGTGTACGCCGTTAAATGTTAAACTTTCGGTCCTAGTAATGAAATATACTATTAATCATATTTTAGCCTACTTAAACACAGGAATACAATTTTTTGCCAAAGGAAATTATATAAAAAACTCTATTAGCCTACCGTAATAATTTAAGACGATATTTATTTTTAAGTCTGATGACATTGTAAAGTTTTCTCTGCTAAGGTTTGCTCCATGGATGTTTCAGCCAGATAAGATCTACTGAGGACATCAGCTCAGGCTACTCCAGCAGTGGTGAAGGCCAAGTAGTGATGGAGGGAGGGAACCCTCTGATGAGAACAGCCTCGGTGGGAGGGGCCCGTACTAGGGGGAGGGGGGCTCGTAACACAGCACCCGTCTCCAAGAAACCATCTCTCACAGAGGTCAGTATTATAAAAAGTATATATTTCTCTATTCAGAATCTGAGGTACCATTTCTAAATTATTGTCATTAGGGTTCTATGTGCTAGACATTTTTACTTTGTCGGTTTTTTGTTACAAATTTTGACCTATACCAAGTTAAAAATGGGTTGCTTTTTTACAAAAATCATTCTAAATATCTTTTTTAAGTTTTGATTGTTTTACAACAAATGCTTTTTAAAATACTGTAATCGTCTCCTGTAATCATGATGAAATCATACACCTCTCTTGTGATCGTGGCACAATCATGAGCCTAAGCGTCCCCCACAGCCCCTTGATACCCATCTTCTGTGGCCGTGCAGACATAATCATTGTCTCCCAGGATCGTAGCAAAATACAATAGACCCCCTCTTAACCGACCCTAATGGGACCGAACCTAGGTCGGATAACTCAAAAGGTAGGTTAAAACGGGCAATCCCTAAACCATAACATAGTGAAATGCTATTCATTAAGAATTATATGATCATTATTTTGAAGTCATACTTGCATTATTTATATAATAAACTACACTTATCTCATTTTTTTCGTATTGATAGAAAAGTTACAAATAAACACAAAACACAGTTAACACATTGAGTGCGGTTCAAATATCAATGGGTGCTTCCCCCGGGCCTAAACATTTTTTTTACATAAAATCTAACCTTTGTTCCCAGAAGTGAGGATCCAGTCCAGGTCAAAAATGGTGTTTTGAGCTTTTTTTATTTTAAAAATTGGTGTCCAAAATCACCGGTCACCGGTGACTGGGCCGGTCCGCGCAATGACGTATATAGTAAAAATGTAAAAAAAAACACACTAAAAATTTTGAATTGCACTATATTTATTACTAGCTGTAACCCGCGGGCTTTGCCCCGTTTAACTTCTTAATTTTCAAGATTATCTCGTTTTATGGCTCAATCACGTCCTGGTTGAAGTTTGTTCGCTACGCTCACTCACCTTTGCTTTAGGTTGGAGCTCGTTCGCTAATCTCACTCACCTTTAGGTTGGAGCTCGTTCGCTGCGCTCACTTGCCTTCAGGTTAGCTCGTTCGCTACGCTAACTCCCCTCCAGGTTGAAGTTCGTTCGCTACGCTCACTCACCTTTTGGTTGCAAATTAGCTGTTTTCATAAATGTAAAAGAAATAATAGTGCTGCACCCTGTTGGTAATCCTTGTAACTTTAATGCTATTGAACATCATAGAACAGAACCAACTTGTTTAATTGAAACAGCTGTTAAGATTCAATAATTCCATTTCTCATAAGGTTAACATGGGAAACTCCAGAGCCACTGGGGCGGAGCCCGAAAGGATTTTTGAAATAAGAATATGCCTATATGTTAATCGGGAATGTGAGCTATCATCATGCCAAATTTCAGCCCAATCCGTCCAGTATTTTTCGCGTTCACTTGTCACAAACATACATCCATACATCCATCCATACATCCATACATTCAAACTTTCTCATTTATAATATTAGTAGGATTAGTAGGATTTACAATTATACCGACCTTGCTCTCAAAGCAAGGTCAGTTAAAACAAACTGTAATATTTTACAATCGAGGGCGGATTAAGACGGGGTGTACTGTAGTGGGTAAAGAATTTTTCTGAGATTGCAATAATGCTAAGAAAATAAAAGCTTGTCTCGTTTTGGCCCAAAAATTAGTTTCAATCCAAGTCACTCTCTTGGACCAACTGTTAGTTGGCCTGGCCTGATCTGAAAACTTTGGTTACTTGCAACCCCTAATTAATATATATGATTAAAGCCTTAAAGGATTTTTTTTGTTTAACAGAAAGAAACACCGTACCCAGAATACTTTTGAAAAGTAATAATTTGTAACACAGGATTATAAATAGGTTTGTATTTTTTACAAGAATATGTGATACAGAACCATACAGAATACTTTACTCGTGTTTCTGTTGTTTTTATATTTCTATTATTCTATGTTTACAGAAGTGTTTCAGAGAGATAATTGGTTAACTTACAAAAATTGTTATAATGAATGCAAAAATAATTTAGCCTACATTATGTTATTTTTCTGTTGGAGACACCCATAAAATCTCTCATCTCATCTCTCTTGCCTAGTTTTTCATGGCGGATTGAGGAATAGCCTGATATAAAATTCTTGATTTATTCTTTGTCTCGGTTCATTTAATTCAATTTTGCATAAACTATAAGGCCAGCCAGGCTCTATATCAAGGCGGCTCCAGGCATGTCCCATTCGCCAAGCACAAAATATTTTACGTTGTCTTGCTATTTGCCGATTTACGAATAGACTTCTACCTTCAATAGTCAAAGCTTCTAGTGTGTAGCTTTCCAAGCAACTGTTTGTTTCGGGAATAAAAAAATTTGTTTACTTTGATGTGTGCAAAAATACTGACAATGAACAGGAAAACATGAGCACGAATATTTGCCTATTGCCAAACAGACAACACCTATAGCGAGTTGCTGTTTGGTGCTTGGCGAATGGCGCATGTCTGTAGCCGCCTTCACAGCTGAAGTCGGCTGTCCACTCAATGGACAAGGTGGAATTGAATTCACTATTTTAGCAACACTATTTGGTTTTATTAATATGTAAAAGAATAATTAATATAATTTCTATTGGATGATACTAGGTTCCGACTCAAAGCTGGGGAAACCTACAATACTATGGTAAACTCTCTGCTGTAACATTAGATAAGTTTGTTTTCTGTGTGTCCCCACTTTACAGGAAGGAGAAGACTACACAGAGGAGATAGAGTGGCAACATGGCCTCCCTCCCTTCCCACTAGCCGCATTGTATCCTCAACTTCTCAACCTTCATCCTTCATCTCAAGCCTATCTTACACCTGAAGTTTTACAAATAATTCTCTCCAATTCACTACCTACAGTTAGCAATAATGTTTCTGCCAATATTTATGAGAAAGCAGGAGATGGGACTTTGGGTTCTAATGAAATCAAGAATTATATAAACAATACTGGAAATAAAATTGTTGAACAGAGCTCAGAAATAAAAGAAGATTACAATGCAATCCATGGGAACAAAAATGATAAAGTTAAAGAAGTAAATGATATATCTGGTGATATTATTGATGTGAAAACTAATGATCTAGAAGTTGCTAGTTTTATGGATGCTGATAAAGTTATGATGTGTGATGTAAAAGCAACTAAAGTAATACCAGAAGATCTACAGAAATCAGAAAAGGAACAGTTACTACTTTATGAAATAGAACAGAGTGAATGTTTTGAGGATGCTTGTAGTGATTCATCCTTGCCACTTATAGGATCAAATGACTCAATTCCTGACAGAAACATTTTAAAGCGATCAATGTCCAATGATTCACATGCCTCCAGTGATGATCCATGCTTTGAAGATTCCATCACGGATGTTGAGATGCTATCCGACCCGAGTGTCAATGAACGAAAAGGTAAATATAATAAAGGTCGAGCACCAGCTCCCCCTCCTGAACTGAAAGATACACTTGGAGAAACATCTTTCCTTGATGCTGAATCTTCAAATTCAATAAATAAAACAGACGTACTTTACCCGAGCAATCAGTCTACTGTTATGCAGAGGGAGATCAGTCCATCTCCAAGTATAAAAAGCAAAAAAGATTTCAGCCGTTTTTTGCCAAAATCCTCATTATTCAGCTTTTTTGGAGCTAAAGAAGACACTCACACCCCAAAGACACCATCCGTCCTTAACAGATCCCCATCAAATGTCAGTGGCAAATCAGGCCAATTTAATCCATCAGGAGGTAGTTCCCCTTCAGTTACCATAAGTAACATCGAGTATACTCCTGATAATAGCGACCGAACTTCGAAAAAAGACGAAAGTACATCATCCCCTAAACTGAGATTACGTCAAATGTCCCAGTCACCTTCTCGGAAAAAACAATATCTATTTGAATAAAAAATGCTGCTGTAAACATTCATGGGGGAAAATATCAAGATTGAACTGGTTCATTACATAGGCAGAAAAATCCAAATCAATTCCTTAAGAATTATAAAAAATATCTGCAAAGACTAAATGTGATTTCACGTATTACATCCAGCAGCATTTGTAGGAATCCCTTCCTTAGATTAGCTAACTGCATGGTAAAGGTTAGGTATCAATACTGTGTGATTATTCCCTGTCCTAAGGTCCCCCTATGGGCTGAATATTGTTACAACGGAGACAAACTCCTGGCACGAATCACCATCTCACGTGAGCCTCAAGATTTTTGTTTTAATTAACAAGATTTTTAACTACTTAACGTAATTTTTTAATGTTACATGGCAGTAACAAGTTTGAACTTTGCTGTGGGTTTTGGTTTTGTTTTGTATTTTAAATTAACCATAGTAGTTTGAGTGTAGTAGGCTATGATTCAAAACATGATTGTAAAAATTGTACGGACAATTATTCACAATGCATTATGTCCTCTTAATAATGAAAGAGAACATGATTTTTGTATATTATGTTTATTGTGTTTAAACTTGTCAGGAATGTTGACAATGGGGAAGGCAGGTTCAATTCACAGCTATGGTTCTTCACAAGTAAAGTGAAGCAATACTGTTTGAACCCCATTTTAACTTTGAAAGAGATCAGTTAATATCACCATTATTCACATCAGTTATCACCACCCATAGGGAGTGAATATTTTTCGTAGCCGTAGCACTAAACAGTAGGTTACATTGAATGTGGAAAGAGGGGGAGAATTTGTCATTTGACTGTTTGAATAGAGGACAAAATCCTAGGCAATAATTTTGGTTTAGTTTTGCAGCCACTGAGGCCGCTTACATAGTAAGTGTTTTAAGTTGTAAAACTTTGTTGGTTTTGAAGTAAAATAGCATTCAATAAAATTGTTTGTAAACTTTGTTGGTTTTGAAGTAAAATAGCATTCAATAAAATTGTTTGTCTTGCTTACGATTGATTACTCGCCATAAATGACAATGTAAGCCAACAGACAACAAAATCATTAGTTAATTAAGAATAGAACTGGAGCATTGCCTTTACCATTGTTATTTCCTCCCTTGAAGTGGGACTAACTGGTCCAAAACAAGTTTCTCTTGCTGGAGGTGTCTAAGAAAAATCCATAGATTTTTGCTCTACCCTATAAACTTGCAATGAAGAGTATCTAATTCTCTTCTCAGACCCCTGTTCAACATTGTTTTGAACCTGCAAACCAATTTATGTAGTCCCTGAAATGCATTACAAATGTCCGTACATGTGTGTTTGTGATTATGTCCGACAACAAACTGCAAGTAATTTATTTTGGAACTTCATTCCCAAATGAAGAAATTTGTATTAAAACTTATCAGTTTTTGGTGTGAGGTGTTTTCTATAAAAGTGAAGTCTGATAACATGAGTTGAAAAGATTGTTGTTATATGACATGTAGGTAACACATGACACATTGTAAATAAATAATGCTTAAAATTTGGCCTTAATTAACACTTAATTAATCTTACTATTAAGATACAGTATTACACATTTACTTTGTAGAACAACTAACTCAAATTACAAATACATTTTGTACTATTTCAAAATATATATTTTTTTATTATGCTCGATCCTCAAGATAAAATAAACATTTTAACCAATGGGACAAAGAAGACGTAATGTCAATCCATACCTCACTTATATTCAATTTCGTTGTAGTAAGACCTGGTTATAGTGGTTCTCAAATAACTATTGCAATAACATTTACTACGAAATGTAACAAGGCCTACAACAATCTATTTTTGGACGTTTATTATATTTACTTTTAGAATATTTAGTTGATCAAAAAGAAACTATGAGGTGTTTTAAGGAAGTTAAAATGGCAAATTTCAAAAAGCATATAATTTAATAACAAGTTGTAGCTCTTTGAGTTCAAAAAGACAAACTTTACATAGCCCTTATTGGACGTGTGGTCAGCTGCTCTCGTCACAGACTTTAGCACAGCAGCTCAACTATTTGTCAAATGGGTTATCCTTGCTGTTCGAATGACCAGTCTAGAGAACACCGAAACTCTTGAATGCAGCACTGGCCAAAGCGTGTTTTTCTATCACAAAAGTTTGTTTGGATGCAGGGCCCAGGAGCCCAAGGAAGAGAAAAATTCCCCACAATGTAGGTGGAGAGGGGCGCAATCATCTCTCGGTTCCTTTGCGCATCACATGCAAACCACAGGCTTGTTTGGTTGTTCGGATGTCTGCATTGTTACAACTTTGTTGGGGGAACAGAAACCGTGATTGCGGAAAAATCTTGAATATATCAATCAGTAATGAAAATATAGTCATTGTTCTCCGCAATTACGGTAAAATCAAGATAATCTCCTGTAGTTGTACGTACATCATCATCGTCTCGGGGAAAACATCCATCAGTGTATATATCCATTGGTAACGGAAATATAATCATCGTCCTCCAAGATTTCCGCAAAATCAAGATTATCCCACATTCATGTAGACATCATCATCTTCTTCCACAATCGCGGAAAAGTCTAGATTATCTCCTGCGGTCGTATGGATATCATCATCGTCTTCCGCAAACACGGAAAAATCCTAAATGTCTCCGACGGTCACTAAAACATTATCAATGTCTTCCACGATCGTTGCAAAATTCTGAACATCTCCTGCAGTAACGAAAATACAGTAGAACATTCATAAAAAAAACTCATTGGGATTGTTAAAAAGACTTTTTATCGAGGTTTGCAATAAATGTGATTAGGGGCAAAATAGATTGTAGGGGATTTGATGAAAACATTTGTTATCAAGGGTGACTTGTTATCGAGGTTCCACTGTATAATCATCATCCTCCGCGATCGTGGGCAGATCTTGATCATCCCATACAGTCTCGGAAACAATCATTGTCTTCCATGGTCATGAAAACGTTATTGTTGTCAATCGCAGTGAAAGCATGAAATTCACAGAATATCTTTGCTTTTTACAATAGCCAAAATATTGCGATCGAGGTTGATTTTTTGACTTGGGGCTCGAAACCTCCAAATGTAGGTTTTGCTCGGCTTGGCTAATGGAGCCACTTGCACATCTACGTTCAAAGAGTCATGTAATAGTAGTTTACGCAACGATTGCGTTAAGTGAGTCTTTACGACACGAGTAGAAAATTTAAGGCACGAGCCTTGGCGAGTGCCTTAAAAACTTCTACGAGTGTCGTAAAGACTATTAACGCGAGTTGCGTACACTACTTTACCTACGACCGTTTTTTAATTACTATCAATCTGGATTAAATTACTAACAATAACTACTGATAACTTTTTAGAGAGGTTACGTTTTCGTGTATTGTCATTGCCACTGAAAGTGATGCAACGACTTGTTGTATAATCAGCTGATTTCCTGTAATTACGTGTTTGTTAAACTTCGTTAAATATTACATTGCTAGCAGCATTCTTACCATAAATAATATTGTATCAGGTACAATTCGGCAAATATTTCATTTATTTTTGGACTTCCACCAACTTAATTAAGAATACGCGAGTATCAACATGAACAAGTCGGATAAACAATTAAATTGGTCAACTGATCAGCTGATCAGCTGATTAGTTGACGTTCGAAGCATTACAATTTTAATTCTTTTCTCTCAATACTTGAACCTCATTAGTCCGTTACCTGTGTGGATATGAGAAAACTATGCGGATATGAAATGAAACTATGCGGATATGAAAGTAAACAGCTGTAAAGTGAAACTTTTCAATTCTAAGAACTGGACTGTAATGGCTACTTTAAAAAACGGTCGTAGGTAAAATATTTTTGTTCATATTCTTTTACTACTTTTACTGTGGCTCGGAGTGCCTGGGGTGGTCGCCCTACCCAAGCGACGGCCCTGGGTAAATTCTTTCCTATAAAGAAAACAGGCATCATCAATTTAAAAAAAAATTAAGTATCTCATCTCATTAGCATACCGAGCTCGTTACCCTGTATGTAACAATGGTTGTTTGATGCTTGATATTGATATAATTGCTGGATTTACTGTATTTGATCCTAGGCAGTGCAGGATATTGGTTTAAAATTAGCTTTATACTTTAGTAATATTTTATATTTGATTTGACAGATCCCGCCAAGCTATGCGACTCTCCCCAAGAGTAAGAGAGTAGCTCGTAAAAAGACGCAATGAAGACTGGATTGTTGAACAAGTCACTTAGCATAAGGTATACATTATTATTGACAACTATATACCACCAGTAAGTACTTATTTATGAAACAATAATTTATTCAATTTTATAAACAGTTTTTTTTAGGTTTGTAGAAAGACAGGTTAGCCAAGAACATGCCTCGATGGCAGCCAAAAACGTATGTGTAAAATTAGATGCTTTTGTGTTGTATACAATTTTAAGGTGACCTATTTATTTTATATTAGCTTTTTTTGTATTAATTATAAAGCTTGTTTAAGTTATGAATTTAAACAAACTATGAATTTTGTGTTTTCACATTTATACGGTTTTATACAATTAACTTTAGTTTTAACACATTTTAGCTTTATTTATTGCTTCAATTTAATATATATTTAAGTTGATTTTTTTTAACATGTATACACGCACAAAACATTTGCTGGAGTAAATCTTGTTTTATATGTAGGAGTATAATTTAACTTAAAGAAGAGGAAAGTATAGTTAAATAGTTAATGTTATTTATTAAGATTATTTAGAAGATCAAATTAATAATAATGTTGTATGTTGTTCATTTGGGAAGATTATTTGTTGATGTATTACCTAGTTAAAGTTGATCCTACAAGCTGCTATGAATCATGATTGATTCTTAGCATCAAAATATCAACAAAGTGAACATAATATAATTAATAATTTATCATTGCTGTATCTAGTCCCATGACTGTGCCTTTAGCTTTATCATTTAAGTCATCATTGATTATCAGATGTTAAAATACTATGGATGTTATCATTTGTATTGTATACAGTTTTAATGTGATAAACAAAAAGTATTAATGGATAAAATATTACATTAAGAAATGTTCTTGGGTGTCTTTAAGACTTGTAATTTAAATTATTTATACATACCACGAGCAGTGAGGTGCTTTTCAGAGGGACAATACTATGTGAGCGGCCAGATTCATTTCCTTTAAGGTGTTAGATAAGAGATCCCATTTTGAATTTGTCTTATTTTAAGTGTTTTAACTGAGTGAATTACATTTAATTTGATGTTTGTTTTATGTAACTAAGTTTGATCTCTAAAATGTAATTTAATTTTGGATTTTCAATAAACGCCTTTTTTATTATTGTATTATATTGATGTTTTCTAAGAAGGATATACCTGTTTTACTCACTGAATTGTTTCATTTGTATAAATAAACATTTAACTATCATAAGATTACATACGTTATGTATGAAATCCTTTTTACAGGTAGTTATTACCATTTGCTCACATTTTAACGACTGAAATGGATTAGTAAAGCATGAAAAAATGTTATGACAATACATGTACATCCAAAGATCTCTTGGAGAGGTTAATGCCTTTCAAAGTATTTGAAACTTGTAAAAATTTGATTAAACCCTTTTAGGATATGCAGACTATGCCAAACAAACCAAAACCTTCATTTGGCCTGCACCTGCACCATACATACACAATGGGCACTTTTCACGCAATGCTGGCATATTCTTGTCTCTAGTAAATCCTATAATATGCTAAATAACAGTTACCTACTAATAGAATAGAATGCAAATTTATGTGTTCAATCAATCATTAAGTTGAATAGAAAAGAAAACTGTGCTAGGTTGGATTAGTCCTTAAAACCATGGATTAATTACGTAGGAAATTTGAAATATGTCATTAGTTCTAATAAAGTAAGTGTATGGTACTTTTCCTTTATTGTATCCTCACATTCAAATGGACCCTGTTAAAACAACATTGGAGACAAAGACAATTTAAGTAGAATTGGCTGTTTTATGTCTTGAAACCTAAATTGAAAAATCGTTGAAACCAGGCAGTTAGCAGCACTTATATAATTATTTATAGTTGCATAAATGGTTATAAAAAAGCATTTACAGTAAACCCTCATTATATTGGTCTCCATTAATGTTGCTTAGCTTTGTCACTTTTCAGCAGTTATAAACATTTCATTGAGCAAAGTTAAGAGTACGCCGCTATAAACTACATAGCTATAATAATAATAATATTTACATAATAGTAATAACTACATAATATTTTAGCATGTAACTACTGTTAGTATTTTTTAAATTAATTTAGATTACAGTATATTATTCAAGCCTTTTTTGGTTGGAGGTGTACCTAAACTGTTCTGGAATAGTATTGCTTTGTTGATGGAATCAGAACTTTCGATACTTAATCTTATTGACCTGGAAGCCCAATTGGTCCGGAGTAATGAGGGTGTACTGTATTAGATAAAATTGATCCTAAGCCTAAATACCTAAATAGATAAAATTACCTGTTTCACAAATAAAAGAACAATGTTAAACTTCATAATCTATCGCATGTTCTATGGAACTACAATAATACATTTTATTTTCAAATTACAAAATATCATAGGTATGGTTTGGACTCTACATGGTTGTTGCTTAGTCTATGGTTATACTCCTTGTGTATACCTCTGTCCAGAATGTTAAAGGTTTTAACTGTCTGAAAATGTTATTATGGTTTGTTTGTTCCTTCTTCTACTGTAGTTGGTACTATGTAATTCATTAAGTTTTCATCTAACATCATCTATGCCTGCAAGAAACTTCTTTATATTCTTGTTAAATAAATTGTAGATCCATATTATTCCTAGTGTTGCATGTTTAATAGTAAGCATGAATGTAGTTACTTGCTCAATATTTTATTATCCTGTTAGATTATAAGGCTGTTTTAGAAGTAGTAACTAACAATATTTCAAATATACAAGCAGTAAATAAATTCTGAAAATATAAAATATTTATTTTAACACACCAACAATTTTACCAACAGCTAGTTTCTTTGTTTAGTGCACATTAAGGTATTTGGTGGTAGTAGTGCACCATTAGGTGCTGTGGTAGAAAACATTCTTTACTTTCTGCAAAGGCTTTAGCACATTGCACTCTATTCCAAAGGTGACATAACTCTCAAAGCAGGAAGCAACACAAGAAAAACATAACATTCCGCACCTGTAAATTTGCTGATGGATTGGTTAAACTAGCTTAAACATTTTTTTTATGAAGTCTTGTAACTGGAAGTTAAACAATAATTAAATAAGGATAACAAATACCCAAGGTCAAGGCAAATTATTGGTCACTTATTGATTTAGTATGCCAAAGCATTTTTACCTTTTGCCTGTTAAAAACAACCACCATTATAATTTTTAAAGACATATATGGATAAAACAAGGAAACTGGCATGAGTAGAAAATGCAGAAATTGTTGGTCAGTGACAACAAATTTAGTACGGACATAAAAGATCAATAAATAATGTTACCTACTGCATGTATAATTTGAGAATATTTGAAAATTTAAAATACTCAAGTATCATTACCCTATACCTAACACCTGGATGTGATGCATGGAAACTGTGATTGCATTTTATTTGTTATTAATTTTAACCTATCTATTTATTATATTTGACAATAAATCATTTCAAAAGATTGCATCTATGAGTAATAATTACTAAAGTCATTCCTATAACTTTGTTTCACCCGCTTCTGAGTAAGTTTTGTGTGTGAAATGTATTTTGAATTCAAGCTTGTTCAGGCTACTGTCAGAGGTCTTAGTCTCGGAATCCCGGTCAGTTTTTTATACCCAGAAATCGTTAGATTGGCATCTTTTAATCCCGGGACCAACAAGATTACAAAACCTATGTTTTAATTATTTGTGTTAATTTGAGGAGTTTTATTTACAAAAACTAAATTAAAGTGCGTCTAATAACACTTGAAATATATATTTACAATCACCGTTTGCTTACAAGACATACATATACATATTATGGTAAGTCGTGATTGATTTTGATTGGACACTTCAATCATCAGACTCAATAGGCAAATGTAGAGTAATATGTTTAGTCTATCGCGTACTAAGTTTAGTTATTTTAAGTTTTAATTGACATGAAGTGTCAAAAACGCAATTGATATGGCAAATATAACTTGGCAATAGGTAATTGTAGTATTTTTATGATATCAAAAGCCTAATACATTTAATAAAAACCCACCGATTATGTTACTGAGATTGCTAATATTTAGGTTCTAGATAGTTATATCTTTTAATTGGTTTTAGACTAGTGTGCTGATTAATTATTTTACAATCCTTAGCTATGGGTATTATTGTGCACACACTTCTACATGAGCAATACCACAAATAACAGGATTGGGTTATAGTTAATTTTCATCCTGTAATTTATTTACTATAGACAGGAAAGGCACTGCACGGTAAAAAGCTTTTACGCCACACTACATTATTTTGACGAACTTCCCACGCAAGGATTTAGTCCAGAAAACAGCTGTTTGCTGCCAGCTTATTCAAATGGGGTTTCATTGCGTACTACTGTACTGTAATGAGTTTTGCCGGACACCAATCAGCTGATTATACTGTATTTAGGTGGCAGTGAGTGGTTATAAACAAAAACATAACCTCTCTTAGAGGTTATGACTAGTGATTTTTAGTCCTTTAGTTGGTGGAAATATATAAGGATTTGTACGGATTCAGTAGTATGGTGTAAACTATCGTACGTAACTCGTCCAAAATGTGTGTACCGGACTTGTATGGTTACTCGACTTCGTCTCGCACGGGAACAACCACACTCGTCCGGTAAATACTTATTTTCAGGACTAGTAACGTAATATACTATTACGCTACACTACAATGTTTTAACGATCTTCCCACGCAAAGATTTAGTTCAGAAAACAGCCGTTTTCTGCCAGCTTAATCAAATGGGGTTTCACTACGTACTACTGCACTGTAATGAGTTTTTACCGGACACCAACCAGCTGATTATAATTGACGAGTGGTTATAAACAAAAACATAACCTCTCAGAGGTTATGGATAGTGATTGTTAGTCCTTTAGTCGGTGGGTACAAATAAGGATTTTTTATTGCTAAATTAGCTTAGAGAAGTATGGTGTAAAATATCGTACGTCACTCGTCTAAAATGTGTTTACCAGACTCGTACGGAAATCCCGCAATCGACTTCGTCTCGTACGGGAACAACCACACTCTTCCGGTAAACACCTATTTTCAGGACAAGTAACGACAGTAACGTAATATACTATTACCGTGCACTTAGTCAGCTAATGAAATAAACAGCTAATTGCCTGTCTGAATTGCCAGCTAATTTGCTAATCTGAAGTATAAAAATAATAAATATTATAATTTATGTTATGACCTAAATAAATTGTGTAATGAGTTTAAAATATACTAATTTTTCTTTGTAATACAAGTAATAACGTCTGATCAATGAATGCCCGATTCTTTGAGGGACAGGGACTTTTACCCTAAGCCTACTAGAAAAGAATTAACAATCATAAAAGGCCACTTATGGAACTTAGGGTAAACTGTATTTTCTTATTGCACAAAATATTAACTAGCCTACTCCATAGATTAAATTAATGTTATTTTTGCTACTATATCGCCTTGCTTTACAAGCTTACAGGGTTCTTTCAAGTCAGGTGTTATAGAGGTATTAGACTATTGCAACACACTCAGTAATCACACTATATTACTATTAGACCATATCGGTACTTTGATCAACTATGTGTAATCGTTTTAAAGTCTTATTCTTATAAATTACATTAAAATAAATGGTAAGTTTTTCATTTTTTTACTGTAGTAAATATAAATTGTTAAAAAAAAACAAAGTGAACAGGATGAAAATTAACTATGCTTGAAGAATAAGTTTTAAACTATTTATTTCAACTTGTTTTACACTGGTCATCTTTGATAGCAGCTACGGTTTTCAATTCTTCCATTATTTTTTGTTCCATTTCCAAGACTTGTGATGGTTTTTTGTACTGGAAAAGAATTTTTATAAATAAATGTTGATTTGCCGACATTGATGAGATATATACCTATTTGAAGAGATAATTTGGTATATCAGTTATGAGCATATATTGTTCAATAGTAGAGCAGCGTAAGAGTGGTTGTTACAATAATCACATTTTAAACTGCAAGCTCTAGGCCTATATTTATAAGTGAAAATCCCTAATCTATATGATACCAGTACCACTAAAATAGACGTGGTGATACCCTAGGTACAGCTGACCAAGTTTATCTGTAATTAGTAATAGTATTTAAACCTGTCATTAGAAAACATGATTACTTGTTGTAGTCATATTACAAATGACAATTTAGGCCATAGACTAACAAACACAAGTAGACTTCTCATCCCATTGTAAATTTTGAAGCTCGCTTTTCGTGTCTAGTCCATGTCCGATAACACTGCCTGCTAGTGTCGAAAAATTTTAGTGTACATTATTTTACTGTTAGTTTCATGATTTGTGTTTTACTATTTGGTTATATAAATAGGGGATGAGTAATTGTTTATGATTAGATCGTTTCATTTGGTTAAACAAGGATTTAAATGACTGAAATAGCAAGAACAAATTGTAAACAAAACATGAACTCTATACGTTGCACCGGACAGAACTAACAATAAAATTGGCTTCAGCTGTTCCATGAACATGAGAAAACCACTATGGGAGTATTTTTTATCTATGATTAGGCTTAGAATCACTCCTTCTCAGAAAAATAGAGATCTTTAGATGTGGATATTAGCTCTCTTAATTCTCAGCAAAAATGTCTATAAACATTTTGCAGGCTAAAAAATGTCTTAAAATTTGCTTAATTTAAGAATTTGTAACTAATTTTCCTGCTTGTTTATTAAAATATTGAACAAATATAATAGGCTAAAAATTAAAAATATATACTTACCACAATTATTAGAGTGTTATATTTATGTGATAATGAAATATTTTCTTGCAGTGGTAAAATACCAACTCTTTCAAGCTCAGGTATTGGAAGTTTTTTGAAATATTTTTTATTTGTTGTTCTAACGACCAAACATTTGTCTTGAGTATCAGCAGTTACAGAGTATACTTCTACTGGATACGGTAAGTTTCTAATTCTCCATTCCAAACTGGTTTTAGTAATTCTTCTGGTCACGTACGGCTGAAAATGTATAAAAAAACTAAATTAGGTACTTTAACATCAGTCTTATATAATTATGTTTTTGTGTTATCTATTATGTAGGTAGGGGCCTGGCCTGGAAGTTTTACAATTTTTTTTCATACAGTACACTCCTGAGTCCTGATCAACCGTGGTTGTTGGGACTGAGACTACCTCGATTACCGAGAATGAAATAAAACTCCTTAAAAACCATTCTTGATGAAAAAAACATTGCTGTAAAGTCGTTGGCTGATAGGCTTGAACCTGCTGTAGAAGCTCACTGCTTAGTTTCGTCCAAACTAAAATCCTTGAAGTAAAAAACGGGTTGTGCCATTACCACTGTAGTACTGTGAGTTAATTATGTAAAGTAACAAGACATTTTCGTAAGAAAAGTTATATTTGAAACACCAAGTAACTCTGTTGTTATGTCAAACGTAAACAAACAACAATGTAAACAAAGTATTGAAAACACATTTAAATTGTATCAGCTGATTCAGTACACTACATCGTCCCCCCTTCTTCTAAGAGTTAAGCCAGACGAAGTTGATCTGCGTGGCATCGTCTATTTAGTCCATTTGTATTTACTACATATGAGTAAGGACCATTCACTTTCACAATCGTTCCTTTCTTGAACCCAGCTCCAGATTTGTCTAGTACCCATACATTGTCGTCCTCTTTAAAAACTTTTTCTTTTGATCCAGGTTTTTGTAGCCGCTGTTGAACCAACTCTTCGTCGTTTTTCTGCTCAACGTCAGGAAACAACATGTCTAATTTGGAGCGTAATTCGCGACCAAACATCATAAATGCTGGAGTTTTTCCAGTAGATCTTCTCAGTGACGTTCTGTAAGCAAATAAAAAGCTGTTGAGTTTTTCTTGGAAAGTCCCAGCATTTCCTTTTGAAGCATTCATGCGTTCTTTGAATGTACGAACACATCGTTCCGCTAACCCATTGCTTTTTGGGTGATAGGGGGTGATTCGAGCATGTTTAATGTTTAGGCTCTTACAAAAGGTTTGAAACTCGTAGGATGTTAGCTGTGGTCCATTATCGCTTACAATTACCCTTGGATAGCCAAATCTTGAAAATAACTCTTCTAAAGCTTTGATCGTTGACTTTGTTGAAGTTGACGACATCGGGAATACTTCAAGCCATTTTGACCGAGCATCTACTACAATCAACCACATTTTCCCCATGAAGGGTCCGGCAAAATCGATGTGGATCCGTGACCAAACTTCTCCAGGAACAGGCCATGAGAATAACGGCATTTCAGGATCTTTGCTTCTGTTTTCTTGACATCCATTGCAATGTCTAGTGTGTTCTTCCAAGTCCTTGTCCAGTTTAGGCCACCAGACTTGAAAACGTGCCTTCCCTTTCATAGCTACAATACTTGGATGTCCCTCATGTAGTATTTCCATCACTCTTGATCTAAGTTTCGCAGGTATGACCAATCTCCCAAACCAAAGTAGAATTCCATTCTCAAAGGAAAGTTCTTCACGTTTGCTGTAGTACGGTTGTAGGTTAGTGTCTTCATTATTTTCCAAAGGCCAACAACCCCTTTTTAAATAGTTTACTACTTTTGAAAGTATTGGATCAGTTTTTGTCGCTTCTTGCAAACACTTTGTCGATATTGGTAGATCCTGTGAACGCAAATGGAAAAGGTGTGCTTTGTTACTGCCACCCTGGTCTTCCTCTGTAGATTTTATCGTATTTTGCAAGGAAAATCTTGATAATAGATCGGCTGTTTTGTTATCTTTGCCCTGTTGATAGTTGATCGAGTAGTCATAGGCACTCAGTGTTAATGCCCATCTAGCGATTCGATTTGAAACTACCTTCGGAATTGAATCATGTTCACCGAAGACTTTAACCAATGCTTTACGGTCCGTTCGAACTTCGAAATGTCTACCATAAAGGTACTGTTCAAAACGAGTTACTCCAAAAACCAAACCTAACGCCTCCTTTTCTATCACGCTGTATCGGCACTCAGCATGATCAAGGCGCCTTGACGCAAAAGCTAAAGGTTTTTCAGTCCCATCAGGATACTTTTGGAAAAGAGCAGCTCCAACACCAATATCACTCGCATCAGTTGCGAGGATGAGAGGTAGGGATTCGTCATAGTGAGCCAACGTGTCTGTTGTAGTAAGAAGATGCCTCAATTTTGCTGCTACCTGTTCATGGTTTTCGTTCCAATGCCATTTCACGCCTTTCTTTAGCAGTTTGTGTAATAGAACACACAAGGACTGTAAATGGGGAATAAATTTACTGTAGTAATTGATCGACCCAAGAAATGATCTTAACTCTTTCACATTTTTCGGTGATTGCATGTTTTTCACTGCTTCCAGATGTTCTGTCGTTGGATGTATACCAGCTCTATCAATTCTGTGACCCAAATAGTTAACGGAATCTTGAAACCATTTACATTTTGATGTCTGGACACGAATTCCAGATTCTTGAAAACGCCTTAACACTTCTTTGACACGTTCGATATGTTTCTCTCTCGTTGGGGCTGTGACTATGACGTCGTCAAGGAGACAAGCGACTCCATGTAAGCCTGCCAGTACTTGATCCATCTTGCATTGAAAAACCCCGGTGGCAATTTTGATTCCGAAGGGTAAGCGTTTGTACTTGAAAAATCCTTTGTGAGTAGAAATAATCAGGTACTGTTGTGCCGATGGTTCGACCTCCATCTGCAGATATGCATCTTTGAGATCTATGACGGAGAATTCCTGGCCACCTGTAAGTTTTGAGGTGATCTCTTCGAATGTAGGCATAGGATATTTATCGGGGAGCATATGTTTGTTTATGGTATTTTTGAAATCCGCGCATATGCGGATAGCTCCAGACGGTTTTACCACTATTACTATGGGCGAAGCCCAAATGATAGGTTCATTCCTGGCATCGACTGGTTCTAAAACTCCACTGTCTACTAATCGTTGAATTTCATTTTCCACAGGTTCCCGTAAAGCAAAAGGAACTGGCCGTGGTTTTGAAACTACAGGAGGTGCATTTGAAGCCATGTGAAAAGATACCTTGTGATTTTTAATCGTACCTAAAGAGGGACTGAAAACTTCTGGAAAACCGTTAACAATGTCATTAACAATCTGTTCACTTACTTGTTCTGTTTGCTGTTTGGACAATGTACATATTTGAGCCCCAGGTGGCAGTGGTAAGTTAAAATCAAGAACCCAGTCTAGGCCGAACAAAGGTATATCGTTTTTCTTAACAACAATTACCGGTAACTTACGTTTGGAACCAAAAGCTTCAACTGAAACATACGTTTTACCCATAGTTTCAATTAGAACTCCTGTATATGCATTAAGATTTTCTGTGGGAAATAGTTTAGGAGTTCCTAGATCTCGCCATATGTTTCTGCTAATGATACTGAACGCTGCACCTGGGTCATACAACATTGAAATTGTATGATTGTTTAACTTGACTGAAAGCATTACTTTCGACCCTTTATTAATCGCTTGGATTTGATCTGTATCAGAAAAAGATTTAACACTAGAGTTACAAGACGAGTTTTTTGCCTCTAACATGTTAAGTCGCTTACCTTTGATAATGACTGCATTACCCACTTTAAGACAAGTGCGTGCAAAATGATTCAGTCCTCCACAGGCGTTGCAAGTGGCATCGACAGCGGGACAGCTCGTTCCTTGTGTATGTTTCTTGTAACCACACCGAATGCAGTCAGTTCTCTTGTTAAGATGTAAGATGTTTTGTTTCGAAGTGTTTCCTTTTGTTTCTTGTTTCAACGGTATCGTTTCGAAAGCATTCTTCTTGTTCCTGTTGCTTATTCTGTTGACTGAACGTGTATTACGGAATTGTGACTGTTGATTGTCAACATTTTCCAATAAAGTAGCGGTGTTTGTGACTTGTTCAAATGTAGTATCTGTCGTAGCATGTAAGCGCAAAAGTTCAAGTTGCCAGCGATCATTGTTGATGCCCAGAACAAACTGATCTCTCAGCCGTTCGTCTAAGTTGTCACTAAAGTCACAGAGACCTGCAATTTCGCGCAAAGCAAATTCGAAATGACTAACAGATTCACCTTCTTGTCTGAAACGGCGACTAAAGATAACCCGCTGTGATAGTGGTGCGGATTTTTGTGTGTAGTATTTCTTAAGTATATCAATAACTCCTGTAAAGTGAAGATTACTGACGGGATCAGGTCGTGCGTGGTCAAATACTAGCTTGAAGGGTTGAGGTCCAAGGTTCCCTAGCAACAAGTCTCGTTTTGTATCCTCATTCTTGATTCCTCTGTTTCGTAATGCAATCTTGAAACGTTCGAGCCAGTAAGTCCATTCTTCAGAATGACCATCAAAAGCATCTATACGTAAATCGTCGGTCCGTTTAGTCGACTGCGCCATTTGTAGTACTGTGAGTTAATTATGTAAAGTAACAAGACATTTTCGTAAGAAAAGTTATATTTGAAACACCAAGTAACTCTGTTGTTATGTCAAACGTAAACAAACAACAATGTAAACAAAGTATTGAAAACACATTTAAATTGTATCAGCTGATTCAGTACACTACAACCACCAACAAATGGGTAGATGATTCTGTCTTACAAGCGTACTTTTCTTCCTTTCAAGAAAGTGACAAAGCTATGTCTACTAAAGCTTTATTAGTCAGACCGAATAGTAGTGAGCTTTTAAAGCTTGGATATCCTAATGATGTAGACAGACTAAGATCAGATCTATGTATCAACATACAGATATGCATTTTGCTGTTTGAATAATACTCAGGTAACAGACATTGAAAATCACCTTGCTGAGAGATGTAAAAATGACAGTGTTGACTCACATTGGGAGTCTTGTGTTCTTTGATCTAATCAATAAAGCAGTGTTCCATCTTGACTCAGTAAAAAACTTAAACAACTCAGCACTAAAACTGACAAAGAGTCTTGGTTTTTTGGTACAGAGAAGGAATTTACTGAGGTCTCTTGCTGCCAACAAAACAATGGATTTGATTTTCGTTTAAATGTTCTAGTAAACGCTAAAGCTATCCTTAGCTACTTTTGTTCAGAAAATCAACCTGTTGTCACTTTAAACACTGGTTTTATATGTTCTCAAGTGGTAAGATTAACCTCTCTCTTCTTAATGCTAGCAATGACGTAGCAGATAGTTTGTATGTGATGATGTTAAGGTTATCAAAAACCTGTCTTTACGATTGAAACAAAGTAGTAGAGGAAATGGAGGAAGTAAATAAAAAGAAAAGTAATCCTAAGTTTTTATCAGAACAAAAAAATGTGTATCAACAGCAAACCGATTTGATGTCCTTACAGTTCCAGCCTCGGCTCCACTCCAAATATACCTTCTTTCCCAAGTCCAGAACCTGGAAAAGTAGCCTACCCACGACAAACCCATCTCCTTGTAGATCCATAGGCTCTCCTCCGAACAACTCTGACATTCCTTTAAGCCTGAAACCAACAATCTGTCTGTTGCCCCTCCCATTTGCAAACCCCAAAAAAACATCTATTGTTCTTTGCTCTGACAGCCATGGTCGTCATATTTCACGACTAATAAGAGACAAAATGAAGGGTAAAGCCGGGTTTTCCTAGGCGCGGAGTCGGCCAGCGGAGAGCGGACAACGGAGAGCGGACTCAGCTTGTCTTAGGTAATTTAATGTTACTGTTTTCCTAGCAGCGGAGCGGAATGCCATGTTAATTTCAATTCCGCTCTCCGTTGTCCGCTCTCCGCTGGCCGACTCCGCGTCTAGGAAAACCCAGCTTAATAGTGAAGAGTGAGTGGATAAAACCATTGACTATTGGATACAGAAGATAAAACCTAACGGCAAAATGGAACATGTTCTTGAGACTGTAAGGTCATATTCAGATACCCTAGTGTTCATGACTATATGGTAGTGATAGGAGGAACCAGTAACGTTGTTAACGGACGCTGTAGCTCTTTTTACTCTGATCTAAACAAAACACTCTACAAAACCTCTGGAAAGAGGATAATTCTGGTCGGCCTCCCAACCAGACAGGACAATACCTCCCTAAATGCTACTGTGGACCATATAAATTCAAATCTTCTTGCCTTATCTTCCAAGTTCCAAGTATGATGATATTACTTTTCTCCCAGTAAACTGTATTCCTAGGTTCGCTTTCACTCATCATGGCTTATACCTCAACATCAAAGGTAAAACTATTCTGTCCAATCTTCCACTAAACAAACTGAGTCAACCTGAGGCTCCCACTCCTAGACAGCCGTCCCCTGTCGGCCCCACACTCTCCATTCTCGTACAATTTCTTCAAATGGCCGCCATTTTGAAATTTGAAATTGAATCAAGATGATTTTTTTGTTTCTAAAATGGGTCTCTTCTACATTAAGTTTATCTAGAAGATATTTGGTTAACAAAGTGATTTTGGAAAAAATATTATTTTTGATTTTCTCTTTATTTTGACCCAAGGAATCACTACGTAAATTATGTCCCCACCTTTTTTGAACACCCTGTCATGTATTTAGTACTTAATAAATTTCATAATAAATGCAATGTTATGTTAAGACTTTGCCAATGCAAAATATTTGTGAATCTGGCTTAATAAAGGACTTTGACTTTGAAGCCTACACTACACTAGAAACACTCACAGTACTACTGTTTTCTTTTATTCCAATGTCATCTAGAACGCCAAACTGAGGCTCTGGGTCGCCAATTTCCACTTCCCAATCTCCAGATCCTCGAATTGGATTTTTCTTTTTCCACGCTCTTCGAAGCAAAACATTGGTTTCCATACTATATTCCTCAGCCATTTCCTGACCATCATGGAATTTGTAGTGGAACTTTCTTTTGCCTGTAAATAAAATAAACCGAATAAACTTAATATGCCAAGAAACGTTTGGCTCGACTCCATCCTAAGTAATGTTACAATCGATATAGAAGTTTGATTTTTCGTTTAGCCACAGAGAAGTAAGATGTACAGGAAACATTTAATAGTAGACGTAAGTCGTGTCAAGCACCAGTCGCTTGTGTCTAGTGCGAATACTATTGGTTGTCCCCTTCCCCTCTCTTTTCCTCCCTCATTATCACGTACACATACAGCACTCATATTGTAGGTAGGGCCTAAGCGCTACAACTGCTTTTGTAAACAAGAACCGTTTGGGCCTTTCCTTGCTCAGTTAATAATACATTTCCGCCCCACCATTCCAGAGCTAAAAGTGCACGGTTGTTCCATAAGCATGTTTCCTCTGTATCTTACTTCTCTGTGGTTAAGCTAACTTAAGTTTGAAAAAGTTATGCCAAATATTTTATGTGGCTTTGAATACTTACTATAGCCTAATTTAACACGTTCGCTGCTACGGACGTTCCGGAACGTCAGCCGTGCCACGGCGCCAGGAGCTAGGAACTTTTCTCTTACTTATTTGGTTGTAAGTTTATTTGAAATATACAAACAACCACAACCCCCGACTCTGACTGTTATCTAAAGGCTGTTATTTTCTTTTAAGAGTTTTATCCTTTTGTATTTCACTCTAACATCAATGTTGTAATGGGAGGAGGAAGTGTTTGGCAATGTTGTTGGGAGTAGGCTGATACTGTTGTTAAACAATAACTTGTTGTGCTGACCTACAGAAAGCTGTTGCTTTGAGTAGGCCAGTGAACTTGATCAGGGGATCAGTTTTGTGTGTAGATGTGGGTGTGGTGTACCAGAAGACAGCCTTGAGCTCCAACTCCCCGAGCAGAAGGACCCTGTCCTGTGGTGCACCACACGCACCACTACACACAAAACTGACCCCCTAATTAAGTGCACTGACCTACTTAAAGCAACAGCCTTCTGTAGGTTAGCACAACAAGTTATTTTTCAACAACACTACCAGCCTACTCAGACAACATTGCCAAACACTTCCTGCTCCCATTACAATGTCATTGGAAGAGCTGCAAACTCAACTTGCCGAACTTAGAACTGTGTCAACAAATAAGACAACACAGCACTTCTCAAAACATTTCGGTCAACAGAGTAATTGTCAAACTTCCGCCCTTTTGGCCTAAAAGACCAGGCTGTGGTTCTGCCAAATTGACTCACAATTTCTTATATCTGGAATAACCGACTACACACCAAGATTCACCACGTGGTCTTGCAATTGGACACAGGAATCGCTGCTGAGATTAAAGACATCATTTAACGAACCCTCCTAAACGCGAAAAATGTGGACATCTAAAGAAGAAACTGATTGAACGTCTCACTGCATCCAAAGAGCAACGACATGTGCGGTGACTGCTGAGTGAAGAGGAAGGACCTTGGAGACCGCAAGCCTTCCCAGTTTTTGGGGCATCTTAGGTCTCTTGCAGGCTCGACTCCCCATCAGAACATGCTTCATCAACTGTGGCTCAGATGACTCCCTCCTTATTCACAAGCCATATTGACTACGCAACTCAAGCTCTCCTTGGACAATCTAGCCGAGCTGGCAGATAAGATTGTGCAAGTGGCTGATATTCCTTTGACACCTGGTATTTGTGTAGTCTCTTCAGGTAACGCTTCTTAATTAAACACAATATAATCACTCTCTAAACAAGTTCAAGCATTATCCTAAATCAAAGCACGAGATACACAGGTGAGACCTAGGAGTCGTTCCCAGTCTCGTGGTGGATCAGAAAAAGGAGCTCAATCCTTCTAAGAACTGGTGCTGGTACCATAGAAAATTCAAAAATAATGCCACCAAATGTTTTTCTCCATGCTGTTTTCAGGGAAACCTCAGCAACAACGGATTGCTCAAATGCTGGCGACCGTCTCTTTGTGATGGACAGAAATTCATTGACACTGGGTCTGATGTCTCATGTTTTCCTTATCAAATATAAATATTTTTCTACGAGCTATTCACTGTGATGCCAATAACAGTGAAATTAAGACTTATGGTACCATACCTCTCACCCTTACTCTAGGAGTTAGACGTAATTTCCCTAGGAGTCTAGTGGTACTGGTGGCTGATGTTTCAATACCTATATTAGGTTCTGACTTCCTTTCACACCATCACTTGTTACCCGATTGCAAGATAAAATGTTTGGTTTACAAGAAAACTGGATTGAGTGCTGAGGGAATAGTTCCTAACAAAAATCAAACTAGTATTCAACTTGTATCATTCTCCTCCCCATTGGCAGAAGTTTTTGCTGAATTCCCTGATATTATTCAAACTCCATGCTTACCTTGTGCTGTAAAACATAAAACAGTTCATCATATAAATGAGACAACTGGTCTGTTCATTGCTGAATCTTGTTGCTTACATCCTCAAAAATTGAAAGCTGCCTGGAAAGAATTTGAGGAGATGGCTAAGCGTGGTATTACTCGATCCTGGTCCTCGCCTTTGCACATGGTGCCTAAAGGAGAAAATGGATGGCGTCCTTGTGGTGATTACCATGCTTTAAATGCTTGTACTGTTCCTGACGGATAACCTGTACCACGTATTCAGGATTTCTCGTTCAATTTGGCAGGCTGTACACTTTTCTCCGCCATTGATTTGACAAAGGCTTACTACCAAAATCCTGTCCATGAGGATAACATCCAAAAAACAGCAATCACCACTCAATTGGGTTATTAAATTTCCATTCATGACGTTTGGCTTACGTAACGCGGGTCAAACATTTCGAAGATTCATAGACAAAGTTATTCTCGACCTTGAAGTTTGTTATGCATATATTGACGACATTTTAGTGTTTTCCCAATCTGAAGAAATGCATAAAGAACATCTAAGAATGTTGTTTAAACGACTTTCTGACTATGGAGTCATGGTAAATCCGTCTAAATGTGTAATTAGCGTACCAGAAGTTAAATTTCTGGATTTTTTAGTCTCATCTTCTGTAACACGTCCACCTCAGGAGAGAATCGCTACTCTAAAAAATACCATTTACCTCGGATGATATGTGGTCTTTGCAGATTCTTGGGAATCATGAACTTTTATCGTAGGTTTCTGCCTAAGGCCGCTGAACTTCAAACACTCCTGAATTCTGCACTCCTTACTTAGAGGCACAGATTTATTCTCTGTGCCGAGGACTCAAGAGACAGAAGAATCTTTTCAAGCATGTAAAAGTAGAAATCTTCCGCATCGAGCCCAGCGATCTGATTGGCCGAGAGCTTGATGAAGTCACTAAGATGGTGGATGGTGTAGGACAAAAAGTGTTTGGCAGGACTGGGAATTTAACCCGGTCCGGCCGCATGAGAAGCCAAAACGCTAACCATTGGGCCACGGCGCTCGTTGCTGAACCTCGCGTCGAGGTCGTGTCAGGCATCAGGGTGTGTGGATGTTTTCTTCTTTTCTGTGGCGGACACAAGATGATCGTGGTTCTGCTTTTCTCCACTAGAATTTGCAGACATCTTCTTTTTTTCAGGTTTGAGTGGTCTAAATCTAATCTATTGGTGTATTTTTTGTCATATTGAATTATATGATATGTCACTGTTACAGTTGTAACAACTTGGTTGTTTTACAGTTGTATCCCCATTCATGTTAATAATAATATGTCTGGTGTTTGTTTTTGTGTGTTTAGAGTTATATGATATATGTTACTTTTGTAACAGTGATACCACCTTAATTATTCCATTATCATTGGTTAATTAATGAATGCTGATTACCACCTTAACCCTTTGAGTGCCAACATCCGGGGAACCGGACGTTTTTAAAACGAGCCAAAAGTGCCGACGTCCGGCCGACCGGACGTTTTTAGAACGAGCCAAAAGTGCCAACGTCCGGCTGACCGGACGTTTCGTAATGATCGAACAATTGTCATAACAACCGAATGGATACTCGGATTCTTTTAACCCATATATTAACATTGAGTCGAAAGTTACTAGATGCGATACATCGATTTTTGTTGGTTGAAATATCGAAAATTCGATTTTTATGAAATTTTAACCTAAAAATCGCCAGATCGCGCTCGGCATTTTTAGCGCGACCTTTGGGAAAAATCATCGCATTTTTTGAGCGTTACTTTTATTTCTCGCCTGGCACTCTAAGGGTTAAGTTGTTTGTATTAAATATTGTTTGTTCGTTATTACAGTAGGAATTTAATTTTAGTATTCTTTGAAAAATTGAAATAATTTGATTCTTATGACGTAATATGCCAAAAAGGAGAGTGAAAGTAAAAATACAGTTGAATACAAAATAATGGGTTTATTATACAGTATTGAAAAACTAAACTTTATATACTTTAAAAAATAATTAACAAAAGATTTGTTAACATGTAAATATATAATATATTAAATATATATAATATTTAGTCTCAAAAGCATTTCTATAAGTAGGGCATATCCCGAGACCCTGTAGACAAGGCCCACAAAAAGTATGGCCACATGGGATTAGTACCACCGATGGAGTGGTTTCCATATAAATTGGGCATTCGAGATGGTGGTCTCTTGCTGGGCCCGGGTCTAACGATGGTCTTGTGTTGTCGTAGACGTTGTAGTCTCGTTGTAGTAGTTAAAGTCTCATGGCCAGCTGCGTACGATCTTATACGCGTGTTGTCTGCTGCCAAGGCTGTCATCAGGGAATAACGAATCTCTCTGAAGATGGTAGCAGCCAACATCTGCTGTTGCATCGCACTTGCCCGTGCCACGAAATAGCTCACAAAGACAAGCAGGTCCCTCAGTTTCTGGATCCACTGCCTCACCACTATACTCAAGGGTTGATTTGATGCACCACTCCGGTCTGCTGTACTGCTAGAATAAGAGTAAGTAAAAGAATAAGAATCTTTATTACCCTTTTAACATTTTACAGTGCAATAGGATTCGTCATTTGCTAAATAATAAATTGCTACATAATATTAAAATGTAATTAAATATTTCACATAAAATAGTAACAAAGATGGTGGCAACATTGACCTTGATCCTGTAAAAAATTTAAAGACGGTATATATGTATACTGTTTAAAATGAATGTTTGATAAGTTTTCCATACCTATAGTAATCTGTAAACTAACACGGTGATTAGTAGGCTAATATCTTGTAGGGGTGTGGGCTGGTTACGTCTTGGTGGTGGGAATGCGACAACGTCCTCCCCTTCCTCCAATGGTCGCGAGGTTGTCTGCTCAGATCTGCGGTGCCAGATGTTGGGCCGTCGAGAGCTGGTGGGGGTGGGAGGAGGAAGAGCATGGGTTGACGCCTGACTGGAAGGTGTCCTCCTGACTGATAACCAGCCTGATGTCGGAGAAGGCTGATTAGCCTCCAGGATCGTTTGCATCCATCTAGGAAGAACTCTTGGATTCTCGTTAACCGGCTCACTAGCTTGGGTAGTCGAGGGTGTTGGAGCAGGGTCTGTTGTTTGTTGAGGATGCTGTCTGGTTCTCGAGGGTAACCAAATTTCTGAGAAGCTTGCCCGGAATCGAGTTTGCAAGGGATCCGGCAGGTCCGGCAGGTTTTTAATGGCTGCAACTAACTCGTCCATTGCAGCATCACAAGCCTGGGGTTCCCCCCTGAAAAGTAAAACAGCATTCTTGAAAATTCCTCTATATAAATAATCTCTTCAAAGAGTTTCCCAATATGCTTAAAATTCCTAGTTAGCGACTTAACCCAAATTTCGTACACTATGTTTAAAATAAGAGAAAATATTTAATAATCATTGTCACAGCGATTGTTTTTATTGTAAAATATAACTATTGCCAACCTCTTGAGGCAATATCTTACCAAACTGTTTTTAAATATTATATACCTATATATAAACATAAATATCATTTGGTTAATATAATCAGTTTGATAAAATAAATCATTAATATCTGTAAAATAAATGTTATTATTATTATTATATACATACGCTCGAGGCTGTACCTCGGAAGTGAGGCATGAGTCTATCTAGGCTTCGACGAACACCCATCCAAGCCTGACGATACTCAGCGTCTATCGAGTCCAGCATTTGTTCTGCAACATTCCTGTCCTCTTTTTCGATGTCAGTTTCATCGTCATCTCTAGAGATCTCCTTAACCATGTCGAGGTTCTCTTCCGGTACAAAGAGATCACCGTCGTTGTCGGGATGCTGAGGAGGAGGCTATATAAAAGTAGCCAATATATAATTTTTGCAATAGTGGTCCGAAGAATGTGTTTTTTTTTATAAAATTGAACTTATGTTTTTAATAGCTTTGGATTTTAGTAAAGAGTCAAACAATTTACATATGAACGTATTAGTGATTTTTTTATAAAATCTAAAAGGTTGTGTTTAATAGAAATCTTTAATAATGAACGGTGTATATTTATAAAATTGTTATTCATTTGTTGCAGGGGTTAATCATTTTAAAAGCATATTAGGAGAATTATTAAACAGGTAGTTTTAAGAATATTGTAATATCACATACCTAATTCGGGGGTCGGATAGCGAGTAGCGACACAGCAGATCGCTACGAAGAATGCAGAAGAAGAACATAGCTGAAGAAGAAGTTAGCTTGAACATATTGAAGCGACTGGAGCTAGCAATGATTGTGGGCGGTTTAAATAGTGCTGGCTTCTTGACGTCAAGGCTCTACAAGATCAGGCCTGTCCCGCTATTCTGAGACAAGCTATAGTTATTATGTAAGAGGTCTCACTTGTCATCCAATTACGAAGATGGCTAGCACAATACAAAACACTATCTTCCATTTGTACTTTTGACGTTTGAAGTTTCCACGCCACCCATGAGTTAGTGTCCCGGCGCGTTCTATTTTTGTTTACCCAGAAACTTCTTTATTCAGAAGCTAGAGTTTCTCTCCAAGAAACTTTCACCCAAAACTGTCCATCTAGCCTGCATACTTACAGAGAATTATGTGGTATTTATAATTATTATTATATTTATTTATATAAAGTGTTGCAGCATTTTCGTCATCTTTTGGAAACAACTTCTTTCAGAATATTCATAGATCGTAAACCCCTTATTTATGCCTTTCGACAGTGCTGTGACAAGTAGCCTCCAGCTCAGTTACGTCAACTTTCGTTTATTTCTGAGTTTTAAAAAGACATAAAGCACATCAATGGCTCACAAAATATGGTTGCTGATACTTTGTCACGTGTTGAAGCCATTTTAACTGGATCAGGAATCCTTAGCCAAGTCGCAAGAGTCTGGCCATGGACTTCAAAATCTCATTTCTGAAAGCACTACCTACATCTCTTATACTGGAGAAAGTTCCAATTCTTGGAACCTGTTTAAGCCTGATATGTGAGACTTGCTTTCAAGGAGGACATATCTCTACTACATCAGCTCAACTGGTGTACGGAGAATCACTGCGTCTTCCGGGAGAGTTTTTCGTAGTACCTTCCCACGAGAACCAACAACAAACCTCAAGGATTGGTGTCCGGGCTGTGTAAGCATATGAATCTCTCTCTGTACACCCGAATCACGCCACAACAAACCAGGATCGATTGTTTTCAAAAACCTCAGGGCTTGTGATTTTTCCTCCAAAAACAGTTTAATAAATTCTCTACAGGCCCTAGGCAATAATCTGGTCCCTACAAGGTCATATACCGAGATGACAATAAAATCACGATGGTTGTAAGAGGCTGAGAAAATAAGGTATCTTTGGACAGGGTAAAGCCACCCTATATTCTCGCGGATGAGAATCGTAGTCCTGAGCCTACAAAACATTTGGTGCCACTTGGACTTAAAACAAGGAGGATACCCCAAACCTACCACCTTGTCAAACTCCACCTGTGAAGCTATATCAAACTCGTTCTGGAAGACAAATCCGACAACGAGATTATTTTTAAAATGTAGAGTTTCCTTTTCTCTGTGGGGATGCTGGTGTAGCGTCAGCTGATGTTGTCTTATCAACCATTATGATTATTATTATTATGGAACTTTTGGTAGAGGAATGTACACTTTGTAAATCTTCTAATAAATTCTCTCTTAACTTAGCCTACTTAACGTAAGTTATTTGGCAAAAGTTTAATTTTGAAATGTCACAACCAATTAATGATCAATTAATGAAGCTTTGTAACAACAGGTCGAGGTCGGATATTAACTTCTTACAAGACAAGAAGTTAATATCTGACATGCCCCCTTCCTTGGAAGGGAACATATTTCCTTCCAAAAAACTTAAAATAATGTCATTGTCGTAGCCTAGGCCTACATAGCCTAGACCAAGAAAAAAAGGGTGGAGCAAAATGAACACATAAGTTAGGCTATATTTTTTTAGTAGGCTAAATAATTGGTGTTAACACAGTGTTCAGTGCGGCAGGCATCCCTACAGACGCTCGCCAATTGGGCAAAGCCTGCGCAGCACTGTAGCAGCGAACGCACATAGCATTCAAATATTTCAATCTGACGAATAGCAAAAGAGCAGCGGTGATTATACAACGTTCCCCCGAGATTGGACGTAGTTCCCTAAAACAACCAAAAGGTAGTAGCACTGCCTGGATCAGTAGTCACTGGCCTTGTAATATGGCTTCAAGAGAGAAAATCCCCGAAACCGGGACAAAAGCATTGTGAGACGGGATTTGACAGGAGATTTTAGAACCAACCTACACTTAAATAAAGCTCACATTCTAAGCTACAGGCTAGCAACGATTTTAACGTTCTCCGAAAATGACTGAGCTCATACTGAACTAATGCAGTGAAGGTAGCGCAACTACATCAATTGATGTAGGCAGATAGGAGCGCTCGTGGCGCAACTACATCAATTGATGTAGTCAGCACTGAACGTGTTAATGGAAGGTAGGGATGCTTAAGATAGAGGATCTGTAATTTACTAGGTTAGGGTAGTGTTATTACACTTGACTTAAATATCAAAGGGCTAGACTTTCACAGGGCAACTTATGTTTAAACTGAATTAGGCCTAGTCTTTTTTCGGGTACAGTTTCTTAACTGGGCTATGCTAATATCGATTGAAACGATCGATTCGATTAGTAAAAACCTTAAACCTTCATGTGAATTTTTCACCATCAACAGGTTTGGTTGGTTAGGTTAGGTTATGATATATTTAAAAGTATCGATTATTGATCGATATTTTGAATTTGATAGTTTCAATCGATATTAGCTCAGCCCAGTTAAGAAACTGTACTCCTTTTTTTCAACTCAGAAAATAACTTAACATTTACCATTAGGGCTAGGCCTACCTACTACCTTTGTGGGGTACACTTCCATATCTGTTGGCACAAACAACCGAATGAATAAGTTAATATTGATTTGTTTAATTCGATATATCGTTTGGTTAGTTAGGATGGGTTAACATTACCTAACTAACCAAACGATATATCGAATAATCAATACATCGATCGATATTTTCATTCGTTTTTTGTGCCAACAGATATGGAAGTGTACCCCCTTTGTCAACAGTAAATTGATGATAGGATAGGCTACAGTGTGTTGGTAGGTTAACTTACTCTATGGAAGTCTAGGCAAATAGGTTAGGTTATACAATATTGTACATTGAATTGGGCTTAAGTTAACACTAACAGTGAGATTTTACCAAGAAAATCTCACATAGCAACTTAGTAGGCCTAGGCCTATTAGCCTAGATCCATAAGCAGAAATATTTACCATCTTGAACAATAGACGTCTTTTCAGCAGCTTTAATTTGACGGTACCACGTATTTGTTTCCATTTTCTTCCACTAGCTTAGTTCATCTTCTAATAATCAATAGTTATAGTAATTTAAAAAAAAAAGTTTAGACGTAAAACTAACATAGAATTGAAAGTTGAAACGTATTTATTTAGTATTTGAATTTGAAAGGATTTCGATTTCACTTTTCACTCCGATTCTGGTCGAGTGGTCGGCGGCTCGGCGGTCGTTTCGTTTTCTTGTTTTGTTTGGTCGATCACTACTACACTATCGATCGATTGATTATCGAATTTCGAATGACAGACAACGTGGACAAGACAATAATTTTGATTTCGATTTCCACATTCCAGTCATTCATTTTGACATTTGACCAATCATCAGGTTTTTGTCTTGTTGCTAGGCAGATTACCAACCACAATGAACCTCGACGTGACCCATTCCTTCCACCATGGACGTGACCTCAACTAGCCAAAGCAAAGCCTGAACTATATACTATACAAAGAGACTTTGAGAAAAATATACGTATAACAGTTAAGCCGCGCCCCACGGCCACCTTTCTCTTATAAGCATAATGCCAACTTATTTTTTCTATTACACACAAATTATCATAAAATCGTGTAGTAATTATGGTTCCTAGTCCTAATTATAAGCAGTTTACCAATGTCCATAGTCCATGTTGTCTCTCACTCAATACCACGAAAACCTTGATTGTTTTCATGCGGGGCTATAGAATACAGTTAGTTCAGTTGCTAGCTCACACGTCGGCTAAGAAAATGGAAAGTGGTCCCACTGCCGTGTGGATGTGACATCACCGGGCTGCCTCTAATGATATAAACTACATCGTTGGCTGCCTCTAATGATATAAACTACATCGTTGGCTGCCTCCACGGGTGGAGCTAGCGCGCGGCACATATACAAACCGCTCATTTAAACGATTCCCTAAATTTACAAAATTCAATCGTCCGTATGAAACTTATATCGTTGTAATCTGCATTAAATACCGAATCTGATGGTCCAAAAATATTTTAGTTATGATCAATAAAATCATTTTTTTTAAAGGGGAAAATTATAAGAATTACAAACTTGTGAACTTCAAAAAGTCACGGACTACTCATGGACCAGCATGATCCAGCTCTTCAAATGTACTAAGTCCCTATTATACCAATCCATTTTACCATCTTTGGGTATGGGGGTATCCAGAGATGGCGCTTTTTACCTGTTCCTAGATATGGTTTCTGTTCCTAATTATAAAACTAGGAACAGGAACTATAATTACTACAAAATTTTTTGATAATTTGTGTGTAATAGAAAAAATAAGTTGGAATTCTAACTTGTTTTGCATATTTTGGTGGATAAAAAAATATATTAAAAAGAAAAATTACTGTTATTTGCTCGGTAACAAATAAACGTAAAAACAGGCTTGAACTGTAGAGTTGTTTAATGCTCTACAAATATGTGTAAGTTTAAGGGGAAAAAGTTATTGAGAGAGTATATACCGGTACCTAGCAAAAAAGTTTGAAAATTTGGAAATTTTTTTCCACAGGGTCCTCGAGGTCCAAAAATTTGAAAAATTTTGATTTATCATCCCTGAACAGCGTCCCCAAGTTTAATTAACTTCCGACCTTTTCCCATCCAAAACTACCTGCTTCTGACTGGACTATTGTTGCCACCAAACAAAACAGCTATAACACAACACAAACACTACTTGCGAAGTTGCCCCTTCGAAGGCTGGTTTATATAGTAAATGGCAGAAAAATATAAAAATAGAAGAACAATTCAAACTTCAATAGCAATCTGCAACTCAATAGGACTAAAAATAAATCATCAAAAAATTATAGTTTTAAACTTCAGATCTAACAGTCAAATACAGGAGAAAATATTGAACAAAATAATAATATTTTAATAAATTTATGTTCATAAATTTAAATCAATAAAGTGCGAATTAATGAGCTGATGTCATCTGTCTGCCATGTTATCTTGTAACTGAAGTCCGTTAAGTCATAAGTCATTTATTTAGCCAAATCAACCAAATACAATTAGTGTTAGCTATGTCAAAATAAACGAAAATGAACTGGAGTAAAACTAAAATACACAACTTCTTAGGTATTTAACATTTGTAAGACTATTTACAAGTTGTGACTACCAGCCAAAAAATCCCGGACACTGTAAATACGTTATTTAAGAGCAATCTCTTCACCACCCTCTTAAAAGTCTGGTGATCCTGTGTGCTCCTTGGAAGCGCAAAATCAATGGTGGGATACCGGCACAATATTGCTGAGGTGGAGGACCAACAATAACAACACAAGTGCTGGCTGGACACAAATATCCAAGACATATATATATATATATATATAACAAGACAACAATAATAATCAATAACAAGGCATTGCCATGGCCAAGAGTAATAACCCATCCAAGCTTATAATACATTTAAAATTTCTTTAACAAAAAATATTTAATTTAAAATTTTATCTTTAATGCAATTTACAATTTCTTAAAAGAGACTATAAAATATTTGAATTTTAAATTTGAAATTCTTATTTAGTTAGGCCTAAGATTGCCACAAAGCGAAAAACATTTAAACAGACTATTTCAAACAAATTAATTAAGCTATGAATTAGGTTAGGTGGCCACCTTATAAAAATCTTTTAAAACATTTAAAACCTTTAGCCCTACATAAAAATAAATAATTTTACATTTACAACATGAAATACACTTACAAATATTGACAAATATGTGGTCGCCTCGCAAAGCCTAAGTTATAAATATACCAAGCGGTTAAAATCAACCGGCAAGGAAAAAAGGTTTTTACCTACGACCGTTTTTTAAAGTAGCCATTTCAGTCCAGTTCTTAGAATTGAAAAGTTTCACTTTACAGCTGTTTACTTTCATATCCGCATAGTTTCATTTCATATCCGCATAGTTTTCTCATATCCACACAGGTAACGGACCAATGAGGTTCAAGTATTGAGAGAAAAGAATTAAAATTGTAATGCTTCGAACGTCAACTAATCAGCTGATCAGCTGATCAGTTGACCAATTTAATTGTTGTTCCGACTTGTTCATGTTGATACTCGCGTATTCTTAATTAAGTTGGTGTTAAGTCCAAAAATAAATGAAATATTTGCCGAATTGTACCTGATACAATATTATTAATGGTAAGAATGCTGCTAGCAATGTAATATTTAACGAAGTTTAACAAACACGTACGGTAATTACAGGAAATCAGCTGATTATACAACAAGTCGTTGCATCACTTTCAGTAGCAATGACAACGAAACGGCACACGGAAGATTTCTCAGGTGCCGTTTGATGTCACTAACTGCTGACGTCACTTTGAGGGAACACCAATTCAGCAACGATACGGAGTTGAGCCATCGGCCTCGGTGGTGCAGTGGATAGCGTTGCGGGCTGATAATCCGAATGTTCCGGGTTCGAATCCCGCCGGCGACACCAACTTTTTTATCAACATTTTTTTCATATCAGCAAGTTTGGTTGGTTTGGTTAGGTTATTACAGTTTAATTTTATAATTAAAAATTATAAAATTGAATTTTAGGCAATTATAATTTTATTTTATGAACAAAACTATTTTTTAGATTAGTAAACCTGTATTTGATTTTTCCAATATCAGCACGTTTGGTTAGTTTGGTTAGGTTATGACAGTTAAATTTAATAATAGAAAATTATAAAATTGTCTGTTTCTTCAGACGCAGGAGTTAGTGACGTCAGCAGTTAGTGACGTCAAACGGCACCTGAGAAATCTTCCGTGTGCCCCACCGGCAATGACAATACACGAAAACATAACCTCTCTAAAAAGTTATCAGTAGTGATTGTTAGTAATTAAATCCAGATTGATAGTAATTAAAAAACGGTCGTAGGTAAAGTAGTGTACGCAACTCGCGTTAATAGTCTTTACGACACTCGTAGAAGTTTTTAAGGCACTCGCCAAGGCTCGTGCCTTAAATTTTCTACTCGTGTCGTAAAGACTCACTTAACGCAATCGTTGCGTAAACTACTATATCCTCAATCAAGGGGTGTGAAGCATAATTCAAAGAAAGAATTAAAATTGAAAGGAGAAAAATATAAAACGTGTAAAAATAGAATAAATGAATTAGTAAAAATGAAAATTAGTAAAATGAATCTGGTTCTCGGATCATCGGTAGTTTAGAACCTTCATGGTGTTTTAGTCAGCCTAGTAAGAGAGATATACAAGAAGAGGAGTAAAGTAAGTAGTAGAAGAAGAAGAAGAAGAATTTAATAATATAACCTAACCTAACCCTAAATAAGGAAGGCCAGGCTTTGGCAATTATTATAAAAGCGTAAACGTAAACATAAAACATTAAACAATCTCTTCTCTAATTAGGCCTACCTAATATTTTAAATTATTATCGAATCATATCAACATGGGAAAAGGTGGAATACCTGACAGGTAAGCCTGAGGTATCTCTTGAATTAATTACATTTAACTACATTTTAACTGTCAAGTTACTTAAATTTTCTGCTACAAATAACACACCACCTTTCAAAGGTTACTAGGGTTATTAGGTTAGTTTTTGGTTGCTAAGTTAATTTATTCATAATTGGCTTATTATTTAACAATTACAATAACAATTAACTATACGTGTATTTAAGAACAACATTTTTATGAAATCTATCTTGCAATAACTTAATTTTCTATTAAGGAAACCATGAAATATTGGAATAGGCCTCTAGATAGTGGAATTTCTAGTGTTAATGATGCTTGAGGTATTCCAGGGTTTTTTTTGGCAATTTGACTTCTTGCATTGCTGTTGAGGTAAATTTTTGTAACAGTATTTTGCAGTGTCTTACCCAGTGTTTTAATTAGGCATTAAAGTTTTCCTTCAAGAGTGACAGAATGAGAATGATTTATTTCCTGAAAATATTAATATGTACAAGGAAACGTCAATACAGTAGAACCTCTTTAATCCGAACCCCTGTAATCCGAACGTCCACTAATCCGAACGCCTCATTTCTGTACTCTTTACACAGTACAGTAGTTCTTTATTGTATAATGTATTTATTGATATACACACCATAATTATTTCAATTGTAATATACAGTACTGTTTATTCCCTATGTTTACTACTGTATTTAATAAACACTTTATTTTACTTTATAGGCCTAAGGTATTTTCCACTTTTCTATAACCATTGTTAAGTAGAAACAATAATATGTTCTGTAATCCGAACCATTCAATAGTCCGAACTATCCCCGGTCCCAATTAGTTCGGATTAAAAAGGTTCTACTGTACATCAATTTTTTAACCTAAGCCTGCAACACACCATGCAGAGAAATGAAAACCAAAACAAAACTTAGGGCCTATTAATCATCACAAATTGGCACTCATTGACTAAAAAAACTTAACTTAATTACTTGACCAGGTGAAGCTTCAAAAAAACTCTTTGATTGAGTAAATTGGATTTTCTAACAGAAGAGATTCGATTCCCTTTTTGAACTTTGCTTCCGGCAGTTTCTGAGCTGTACAAGGGAGTTTGTTAAAAAAGTTATATCTCTAGTATACAATAGCTAGATTGGACCTTTCTTAATCTAACATATAGTGTAGATTCAAGTCGTCCTTCCTCCTAGGGTGGATATCACTTCAGAGTGCTAGAGAGCCTGATATCCTAAAAAAAACTGTGTCTTGAAAAAACAATACAGTTGTAGGCCTAATCTAGACGTAACTCTGCATAACCTAACAGCATTTGGTAAAATCTTCTGTGGCCGTAATCTAGGAATTTACCGCTGTTGGTCTCTTCGTCTAGAACGTTCTCCATTTTGGTCAAGATCAATGATGCGATATTGGCCAACATACAAGTCTATGCCTAGTGAAAGAATTGTGACGTTGCTAGGTAAAAATTTACTTTGCCCTAAACACACTCCCTGAAGTGTGAAATCTTGTTTAAAAGTGTATAAAATGAAGTTTTGTAGCATATTAAATGCTGGAAAAGTGATTTCGGTCCCTCATTATGTGCACTAGGCCTAAACTTGCATCTTCTTTGGTGTGGCAACTGCGAGGAGCAGTTAAACTATTACAAAATAAAAGATTCCTTTCGTCCAACGAACACTCATCCCCACATCTTTCACCATTAATAAACCCCATCTGCTACAAGGAATGAGGACATTCAGTAAAACAAATGGTATTTGTAAGCTTAACCCATTACTTTTACTTCAGTAGTAGGCCTAGTATATAAAACTAAAAAAATACAGTCTGTCTAACTAAACATTGTTTCATTCGAACACCTTTTCACTTGTAGACCCAGGCCTTCCATCTAGGCCTACCGATAAGGATCAATTTCAATTTTACCCACAATAGTTTTTACAATAAAAAGTTTAGAATTTTTACATAATTTTGGCAGAATGCTAAATGTTTGTCTTGGAAGTACGGTAATAAGCTCACGTCTACAAACAGCCGTTGATAGGACCTAGCTTACCACAGAGATTAAGTTTGAACAAAAATGTTCAATATTTTACAATATTTTTTAGTTCAGTCTGTTGCCTTATTACATACATTGCTGTCACACTAGATCATACAGTCCTGTCATCATTATTGTTTTGTCAACATTATAATTTTTGCATTTATTTATTATTAGCTTGCACCCATGTTCTATCAAATCATTTTGTGAAACCGTCTCACATATCTTGTCATCTAGTTATGCATGTACTGTCACTACGGCAAATACCAGAGCTAGGCAGAATCTCGATGTCTCCCTTGCAACATTGAGCAGAATGCTCAATTCCTTCCCTACGACAGCCATCAAGTTCTTCAACAGACTCCCTTCCAGCATTCAATGTCTGGACGACCGGAAGTTCATGAGTGCTGTGAAAGACTTATATGATGATTAAATAATAGATTAATAGATGATTAATATACCATACTACAAAGTAGATTATTTCTTTGAGGACAATTTGGAGCGGGACGATTAATTTTTTGTATCGCCTACTGCCTGCCCCCCCTTGGGGAGCGAGAGTCATCGTTTTGTATTAGCATTGTATGTTATTTTCAACTGCTCTTGTTAGCCATCTAAGTTTGCTTTCATTTGTAAATTGGTGTTATACCTGTCGTTGAAATGTATAAAAATAAATAGGCCTAAGAATATGGATCCTAAACACAAAGAAATGATGTCACTGGCTCAATTATTTAACTGATTAACGTAAGAGCTGATTTGGACTACCTTTTTTGGAGGTTTTTTACAGTTCCATGGAATCCATTCCATTGAATTGATTCCAACTCCAAACTTTATTGGGACTAGGCGTACCACTACAGACGAAAGTGATCGTTGCACATGTGTGGACATGTGATAATTAACCTACAATTAAAATGTGATTGCTAGTGTTTCTTGTGAAAGGTTTAAGAATGTAGAGTAAAGTTAAGCGGCTATGGTATAAGATACGGTACTCCAAAGACCTAAATAATACAAAAACCTTGCACCCGTTTTTAGTAAATTATAGGCTAGCGTTTTAAACACTAGTGAACTGCTCATCGTAATGGCTTTATCTAGGCTACTTGGCCTAATCACTTCTCATTACCATCTTTACTGGTTTTTAGCGAATTTCCCATATAGGGAATAAGCTATTACCGTAGTACTCACGGTAAGACCTGGACCCGGGACCGATTTTTTTTTTTCGTTTTGAGGTCCCTAGAGGTCAAAAACACCATCCGTTCAAATTCATATGTATATATATATTTATATATATATATATATAATATATTTATATATATATATATATATATGTGTCCGTTAGCGCGATAACTCGAGCAAAAATGATCCGATTTTGATGAAATTTGGTACAAACGTGGTAAACCTACGTTTATTCGAACGAGTTCGCGAACCAGCATGATCGGACCATGGGAACGGGGGTTTTATGGGGGCTTTTATGGGGTAAAAATGGGTTTTTCCCATTTTTGACCCAAAAAACATAAAATTTTGCAATTTCTTTCGAAACTATTTTGTAGAGCTTAAAAAAACAAATAATTTAGTATATTGAAGCGTTATAATGCGCCTAATGGTTACGGAGAAAATTCCAAAAAATTGTAAATTTAAAATTCCCATGTTATTCTTATGGAGAATAAGTAAACTGTTGTAGTTTGCTTGTTTATAAACATATTTTGCCCAAATTTGGAAAATGTTTTTATTTCTTACTAACTATTAACATTTTACATAAAAAAACACTTTTACCCTCCCTGTTGCAGCAAACCTAAGTATGTTTTAAACTGATTCTATTTAAATAGGGAATAAATGTGATATTTTTAAGGAGACATTTTAGTGTAAATCCATTTAGGGAAATGGAAATTCGCTTAGTCTGCAGGTTTGCTGCGGCGGGGGTATTTTATATTTTCAGTTAATTAATTAATTCTATTTATTTGTTACTGTACACAGCATACACCATTTTAAATAATATGTACACAGGAATAGCTGAACAAAACAGAACAAAGGTTTTCAAAAATATCACAGCTCGAAAATAAGCAAACAGACTTAACACTAATAGTAAGTATATATTGTAGATTGAGAAAGGACAAAAATGCAATCTAATTTATAATTTACAATGATATGAGTGAAGCTAATAAGTTCCTAGTAGAAGTATAAATAATTGACGTTCACACACAAATAATAGACAAAAACGAATGATAAATTCACAAAGAAAATACTACCTAATATTAACTTAAAAATACTTGGACAAATAATGCTAGGATTGTAGATAAACTCTGTGGTGATTGAATTGTGTTTCAGGTGGCTACCATATTCTCCGATGGGCAGCGTAGTTCCTGGAACACGTTTCATCGCATGTAAAGTTCCACTTAATGATGTAAGTTAGTCCTAATTATTTTTAATCAGTTCCTGTGTTTCTAATTGAGTATAAAAGTAGCCTATAGGTGTACAAATTTATAGTTTTACTGTCTGTAGAATTTGACCATTGAATCATTATGCGCATAGGCCTAACAAAAACCACGTCAAAAGACAAACTTAATTTGAACTTCTCCATTATTAGGTCTTTTTAAACTGGGGCTAGCTTATAGAATACATGGGCTATCTCATGTTGACGAGCAAAGTGGTTCTACTGCCGTGTCGTCACAGCACGGACTCCAAGGATCTGACCAGCGCGCGGCCCATATACATACAGCTCATTTATAAGCTACCCTACATTTAAACTATTGTTTGTACCTATTAAACTTATATCATTGTAACCTGTTATATAGATAAACTAGTTTTGAAACATTTTGATAGTTCATTGAGCAATTCAATTCAAGGAGGTTAAGTTACAGAAGTTTAACATGAGCCGATAGACATACGCATGTATTGCACAAACAGTGATTCATGCTTCTTAAGAAATGGAAACAAGTGGTGATATTCACCATGCACCTTCCTTTTTTCATTCACTTTATGCACCCACTTCAAACCAGTTTGAAGCTCGCAAAATGAATGTGAGTTAATTGTTTTCGCTGTGCTCCAAACTGCGTGCGAACTTAACTATACAGTACTAACTTATGTGACATCTTGGAACTGATCAAGTTCCCGTTTGTGTCGCTCTCGCTAGTCGCTTCATGTGTGCGACGTCAGTCCCTCTCAGTCGCCTCGTTTTAGCTCGCCCTTGATTGCCCCGCCCGCTCCGCTCCCGAACGCGGTATGTGTGTTTCTACCCTAAGACAATAACAAATATATAACGAAGAAAAGTCTTGGTATTTGCAGTAAATGTTAAAAATAAACTGTGTTTTTGTTGTAAATTTCCAAGTTTTCTTACATCTAAATTACAATATAGCCTAATATTGAATTTAAACTTGATTTAGTTTGATAAGGTTATTATGATATAGGTAGCCTTTTTAGGAAAAAAACCAGTTTGTCAGTAAAGCCTCAGTAACACCATTTATGATCACTGTTGTGGTTCAGCTGATAAAATATCATCTAAATAGTCCGTGACTGACTAGAGTGCTGCTATCTAGTAACGTATTGAAAAACTAAGGCGCTATCTGTTAGCAATTGTTGACGTCAGCTTAAATACCAGTTTTTACTCCATATTCTCCAAGCACAGATAGCCGAGAAGGCTAGGGCGTGTGTCACTTGGCCAGTGGCCAGTGGCATTCGTTTGCTTGGGTTCGATTCCCATCCTGTGTGTGGCAAATAATTGGTGACCTTTGTGTTTGTAGCGATAGCGGTATACTTCAACCACTGGGGCATAGTCAGGTGTTCATAATCCTTTGTTTAGACATACACCTCAAATCATCGGATTGGGCAAATCTTTTAGCTAAGTGGTTGTTAGTGTATCCTACGAACATGCAGGTCACCAATGGCCGTTTTGCTTCTTTTTGTTAAAATAACCTTCTCTATATCCTTTAAAGATTTGAGTAAACAGCCATATATCGTTGCATAAGACTCAAAGGGTTAATAGGCAAGCATGTTTCTTAAAAACCTTTTTTCTCAGCTCGTGCGCATTGCAGGGAAAATCTACGCTTACTGTTACAAAGATATTTATCTGTAGATGAGCAGAATCCCTTCATAAAATAAAATAGGCTCAAAAATAAGCACAAAAAAGAATTTTAAATAACAAAAAATTTACATGGGCCTTATGGGTTACCATGCTGGTGACGAAATAACAACGAAATATAAAAACAGAAAATTTAAACGAATGAAAGAAATTTCTATCACATGTTTTCTTTACAGCGTGGGGGGAAAATAGAGAAGTCTGTACATTACATATTATTACTGGGACGGGTGGTGTCGTCCTGTAATCCAGCTACTAGGAGGTCACGAATTGTGGATATTTATAGGCATACACTGTGGATGCGATGCTCCCTGGTGTGGATTAACGTCCGCACGAACGAGTACTCGACTATCCTTAGTACTATCCTGATAATTAGACCAATTCGTTAAATACCAAGGAAAAAATGTGGTTCGGATTCCACTCTAAACTGTAGGTCCCTTAGTTGCCATTAGCTGTATGGGCTATTAATTAACAGCTGTGTCTAAGGAACATGTCAACCTTAGTCACTAACAAGACTACAAGATCGCGCCACTCATCCTACACTCATCCTTCGCTCATATTTTGGTTAAAATACGTACATAGTGGCGTAATTGATAATTGATAGGCCTAATTGATATTGGTGGAGTTTTTGAACACTGGACGACCTCTATTATTGGTCGAGTTTTCAACCACAGGGGGACCTCTAGTTCCACTAAATACACATGTAGGTTATTGGGTTATTTGAAATAGGTATGTTTAGCAAGCTAAATGTAGGTAAGTTTTTAATGAATTTACGGGCCAATTTCTAATGATTTTGTCTAGGATTCATTAAAATTCAGAGCTACCTTTTGAATTATTATCAATTATGTTGGAATTTATTTAAATCTCACAAAGAAAGTGTCAAATAAATTTATTGAAACCAAACAATTACCTTTACTATGACAAACCTAGATACAAATATAGTTGTTATTCTATTTTTAACTCTATGGTAGCCTCGTGAAATGCTTGCCTTGAAATCTGAAAGTCGCTGGATTGAGCCCAAGCGAGATTGATTTTGAACCCATCCCATTTATCATTGGGCTATTAATTAATGATGACATCTAGTAGAAGGTAGTCAGCAACAAGACCAATGGTCTAATTGCCAATATTCCAATGGTCTGCTGGATATGTCCCTTGGTCTTGGTATGATGATAAGTTACCTCATGTAGCCAGTGGCGATCTGTCCCTCATAACAACTAAACTAGCTAAAAGGCTGTTGCGTCCTCCAGAAATGTGCATGAAAATAGTGTTTATAAAATTAGTAAAACGTAATAGTAAAGACCTCCTGTTTATTAAATTTGGAACCATAGAACAAAGCTTTAAGTTAATTGAAAACTTTAAAAATCCTACATTACAGGCCTACCTAATACACTTTTTTACATGTTTGGGATTTTATCTCAGAAAAAAATTAATCAGACCACAACATGTTCCAACCCCGAGTAATCTATACTATAATAACAGTAACACTTATGCACAATGATTTCAAAAACGGCTCCCATGATTTCTTCTAAATTGTTATGAATGTCTTAGTTTCAGGGTAAAACAATATCCATGCTAGCCAAGCCAATGTTCTGGAAAATTTTGTTTTTCGTTAGAAACTTTAAATTAATTTTTTATATTTCTAACATTGGTCTCATGAAAAGCTAGGTAGCCAAGACAGCTTTCTGAAAATGTAAATAAATAAATTGTATAATATGCTTAAAATAAATCATCTACGGTATAGTGGCAAATTACTAAATACAGTAGGTACAAAAGTAAAGGATATTCCCATAAATACCATTTAGCATTGGTCATTTGTTTTTTCCTTCCACCATGATTTAATACACTTGGGGTGTTTTATTAACAGTTAACTAGCCGTTGTACCCATGTGTTTGATACTCTTTGCCATATTCTCATAATTGCTTGTTCCTCTATTACATCCGTATTTTGAGTGAATTAATTAACATCTGTTGTATTAATTGTTTTTCTCAATATACACAGTTACAGTCCACTTAAAGATCTTTACTTATTTTTTATTACAAGTTATTTTATTTACACGCAACACAGTTACCTAACATTTTGGTCCGTTCAGAAGCCAAATACGATATTGTCAAGAATTAATTACCTATGGTAAATTATTACACAAAGAAGATTTGGTGAGTTTTATAGACTAAATTTCTAACAAGACTTACTACCTTAATTTTGATTCACATTGCTTCACGCTACATGGATTGACCAATCTTCAATTGAAAATGAGTATTAACAATGAAAATGCATTGAAATTTCTTCAATTGAAAAAGGGATCGATAAGGGAAAACTTCAGAGAGGTCATAGGTAATCAGCGTACATCTTTGAAACCTAATTATTTGAGACAGCGATGCAAATTAAAAATTGGTTTACTATCTACTACCATAGATTAAATACTCCTTTTATCTATGCTACTACTGTTCCTCAATACTTTTCCAGATATAACTAATGTACCTATATCATTTAATTATGTCGTTTCACGAAGGTTAGTGAACACAGGTTAGGAAAGTCAGTAGTTTTTTTATGGTTTGAAACTGGACCCAGCTGTTCCTGATCATTGGGCTTTAAATAAATTATCCTGGCTAATTAAACAGCTGATCTTAGTCAGTAACAAAGCTACACAGATCATCTCACACTATTCTACACCATCGATCTCTATTATTAGAGATCGATGTTCTACACTCATCCTTCACTCATATTTGGGTTAAAATACACACCTAGCGTCCCCATCTCAATAATTGATAACTGATAAATTGACAATTACTATAAACAGCAGCTCAATTGTGTGGACGAAAAGAAAATCTAATACCCCCGCCCCAGCAAACCTGCAGACTAAGCAAATTTCCATTTGCTTGATTGGATTTACACAAAAATGTCTCTTTAAAAATATCACATTTATTCCCTATTTAAATAACATTAATTTAACGAGTACTTAGGTTTGCTGCAACAGGGAGGGTAAAAATGTGTTTTTTTTTAATGTTAATAGTTTAGAATGAAATGAATGCATTTTTCAAATTTGATCAAAATATGTTTATAAACAAGCAAACTACAACAGTTTACTTATTCTCCATAAGAATAACATGGAAATTTTAAATTTACAGTGTTTTGGAATTTTCTCCGTAACCATTAGGCGCATAATAAGGCTTCAATATACTAAATTATTTGTTTTTTTAAGCTCTACAAAATGGTTTGGAAAGAAAATTTTAAATTTTAAGTTTTTAGGAAATGAGAAAACCCAATTTTTACCACATAAAACCCCCTATAAACACCTGTTCCCATAGTCCAATCATGGTGGTTCCCGAACT